ACATCTATACATGTCGATTTCCTGCAAACAGCCCATCGTTCTGCCTTATTGAGTTGTATGACTGGCTTTCGAGGGTCACCTTACATTGTGTATGTTAGTAGCTGTATCCACGACTTCGTCCGCGTGGAATTTAACTTTATTTTTGTAAAAAAAAAGAATTTTTCTAAAATAAAAGTAGCTTAAGTTACTTCTTATTACATCAGCTATCTGCCAATAAAAGTCCCGTCAAAATCGATGCAACCATTTCAATGAATAGCCGGAACAGACTGACAGAAAAAAATAAAATAATGTTTTTTGGTGTATGTACCGTATTTATATTCATATGCATGTAGTAAACCACGGTTATTTCAATATTACAAACAGACACTCCAATTTTATTTATATGTATGTATGGATGGATTGTAAGAAATGAAAAATAGGTGTATGTACATAACTTACATTGTAATTACGTAGTGCTCTTGAAACTTAAATAAACCTTCATCTTTATTCATAAAGATTTGACCTTAGGTCTAGCGGTTTAGCACACCGGTCTAATTCCGATGGTCGCAGTTTCGATTCCTCGCACTATAAACATTTTTATTCATGAGTATCATTGTATTTTTTTATGGTTGATAATGGAATGGCGCATCCGCCTGCGCTAACGGTTTACGCTGGCTGGGCACCAGTGGAGGATGATAAGATGAACATGAGGCCAGGTCAGTTAGCCCATCATAACAAATTCACCAAGAATTTATCACGATGGTTTCCAGGGGGAACCGCGTGGAGGTCAAGCTGACATGGTACATTGCTAGCAATAAAATCATCAGTCCACATTACTAACAATTCCCTTTAGCCCCAGTAAGATTGTATTTTTTTTTTAAATTGAGAATCTCTGATGCTTCAGCGTTTGCGCCTGTGGTTTACGCTCACTTCAGCAGAGTTGAAATGGATTTGTAAAGTTATGATTTTATTAGAAGTACAATTTGGATATCGTTATTGTAACATATAAATTTTTATAAATATAATATTTAGGCATTTGTCGTCCGAGGTGATCCAGAACCGTTTTAGGTATGATTTCGAGTATGAATGACCGGTGAGAAACTGGGTGAAATGAAAGGTTTGGGGAAGGCTTGTATCACAAGTAGCAGTTTAGCATAATTGCTGCACCACTGCTTGGTATACTGGCAATTGTCTGTGGTATTGTTAAGTCCTCTAATTCGGCTTTACCTAATTGTATAATGTGATTTTTTATGTAACTCAGAGTAAGATTGTATTGGTCTGGGTGATTTATGTATTGGTTATATAAATATCAGTTGTCTAGTACCCAGAACACAAGATCTGCTTACCTTGGGACTACACAACACGTGTGTGTTGTCCATAGATATTTCCTTTTATTCCTAAGTTTCACTAGATTCACTATTATTAAAAAATATCTCTAATAAAAATAAAAAAACACTTGAATACTTATGAGTAGACGTTTATTGTTATTATGAATCCCATCAAAAACATAAATGTGAAATGATAGCGGAGTTTAATATTATGATATATGCCTTGATTGTTGACTACGACAAAAGAGATGAGATCTAAATGGGTGCCAAGTTCAATGGTCTGTCCTGAAATGTATTTATAACAATATAAAATATCATTTCTTCTTATAACTTAGGATAATATACTGTAGCCTAAGGTCTATTGTAAAGGATGGAACTAAAACACCGACTTATTTTCGCAAACTGAGAGCACGCACTTATTTTATATGTGACACCGAGCGTCACCGCGATCATAAGAATCCGACTACAATATTGTGTAGAAAACGTGTAGATTTATATTAATTATATTGTGCGCACCCTCATATATATTTATTAAAAAATGACGAACGTATCGTGTATATTTATGCATATATACGTACATATAATAATAAAATTAATTTTATAAAAAAAAAAGATACAATATTTTGATAACGTAGTGCGTCGCCTACAGTCTAACTTGGCTAGTTTTCATATACGAAATATACAGTAGCCTTCGCAAGTTCTAAACATGTTACTTGTCGGTTCCTATTTTATTATTAGTAGTAACTAGCAATCGAAAGTAATAATTGGTGTATGAGAATTGGCCAAGTCAGACCTTAGGCTACAGTATATTATCCTAAGTTATGAGAAGAAATGATATTTTATATTGTTATAAATACACATCTTGACACGCTACCGCGTGTCTAGATGTGTGAGAGATGTAATAATTAAACTGCATTAACTTAAATATTATAATCTAGTCTGAAAATAGACAAAATAAATAAAACGCAGGAAGGGGCGTGGTCCTTTAGTCTATGGACAATAACGGGGTAAATTAAAAAAATAAATATATATTAGAAAGTCGACTGACTCACTAACTAAAATTAAAGCTTTTTAAATCAGTTAATAAAAGTTTTAGTTAGTCAGTCGAGTTTTTAATATTAATTATACAATTTTTAGTTAATGCTTATTAAATATTTTAAGTATAACAATACAAAAAGCACGCTGATTATTCATGTAACTATATAGAAAAATAGCTTCGAAATTTTCCATATATACCTATGTAATTATGTAAATATATTTAGGTATATATGTAAATATATTTAAGTATACATATAACAGTAGTCGACATTGTAAATTGTTTTAACATGTTATCACTTTATCTTGAACAGAAATAATCATAATAGTAACAATACTGATAGGCTTATATTTAAACAAACTGAACTTGGAAGATAAAATATTTTACGCTTAAACATAAGTAGGTATATCTATAATAATCTCAGGATAATTCACACAGCGCCATCTAGACCCAAGTTAAGCTAGCTAAAGCTTGTGTTATGGGTACTAGATAACTGATACAAATACATAGATTTTTTTCGTAAATACATACATATTATACATAGAAAACACTCAGACCGATACAAACAATCATACACACGAATATAAATGTTAGTGCCGTGCGAGGAATCGAACCCCCGACCATTGGACGTAAAGCGGTGTGCTAGACCGCTAGACTACCGAGGTCGTCAAACAAGAGGTCGTCGTCATACTCATGAATAACTCACAACAGTTTGTACCGTGTAAGGAATAAATTTCTAAAATTAAATTCTAAGGCTAAGTCACTCATTACATTAGCTATCAGCGCGTGAAAGTCCCGTAAAAATCGGTTCAGCCGTTTCAGAAATTCGCAAGAACAAATTGAGAATCTGTTAATTTGAAATTATAAATAAACACATCGACTTTATTTATTTTTATACATGCCATGCTGTGTCCGCGACTTCGTCCGCGTAGAATTTAACTATATTTTTCTAAAATAAAAGTAGCCTAACGCTAAGTCACTCCTTATTACATCAGCTACCTGCCAAAAAAGTCCCGTCAAAATCGGTACAGCCATTTCAGAGATTAGCTTGAACAAACAGACAGACAGACAAAAATTGTAAAAAATGTTATTCTGGTGTATGTACCGTATTTATATTCATATGCATGTAGTAAAAAACGGTTATTTCAATATTACAAAGAGACACTCCAATTTTATTTATAAGTATAGATGTATAGATACAATATACACGAACACGGAAAGTAATAACTGCTCCACAACGAACTGTGGCTGGGTTTTACCCGTAATGAGACTTAGGTACTTATATATGTATATTTAATTACTACATTTACTGGAGAGAAAGGGAAATTGTTAGCAATGTGGATTGATGATCTTATTGCTAGCAATGTACCATGTCAAAATTCAAAAATCATTTATTCATGTAGGACATTTTGGCCGCTTATGAACGTCAAATTTTTACATTATAATTTTATTTTTTCCCTACCGTCCAGTTCGGTATATAGATCCAATTGAGAAGAACTGGCAAGAAACTCAATTGAGTTACTTTTTTTTTTATAGGCCATTTTATTTACAATGTATTTTTATATAGGTGTCTATGTCTAACATTAAATGAAAATTCAGTGCATGAACAACTATGCCGTGCACACTCGTCATTCAAGTAATCGTTTAGTAAGTAGCTTTGCTCAGTAAATATGATTTAACAGATGTTTTGAATTTATTTAAGGGTAATTCCAACATATCCTTTGGTTTGTAAATTTTTATACCTATTCCCATAAAAGACCTATTAACTTTTTCTAAACGATACTTGGGGACAGCAAGTTTGTCTTTAAATCTAGTATTAATATTATGAATATTAGGTCAGGTTGACCTCCGCGCGGTTCCCCCTGGAAATCGTCGTGACAAATTCTTGATCTACCATGATGGGCTAACTGACCTGACCTCGTGTTCATCTTATCATCCTCCACTGGTGCCCCGCCAGCGTATACCGTTAGCGCAGCCAAGTGCACCATTTCATTGTCATCCATAAAACAAATTAAATTTACTGATATGTATCCCCCGTTTCAAATCAAACGGGGATCGAAATTACGATGGCATGAGCCGAGGCTCGAACCCTTAGCACCTCAGGTTAAAGTCATATACTTAAGTCAGGCGGGAGTTGGCCTTCAGCCGCTCCGTAAGTCGTTCCGCAGGTTTGGAGTGCACTCGCCCCCTATCGTCCGATGAAACTGTAAAGGCCAGCTGCGGCCAACAGCATTAGAGTAGGACGAAAAATACTAATGTGTACGTATATATTGACCTTAAAAATAACTTTGGAGACATTTTTTTTTCCCCTAAATGTTAGTCTTTTATTTTTTAAAAAAAATACAACATACAAAAATACATACAATCCTAAATTTTCACCCTTCTATCATCAACCCCTATTTTTTTATAGCGTTATTAATTTATATGCTCAATAAATGTTATATATGTATATATACTATATACTGTATATAAAGCAAAATATAGTTTATATAAAATACTACAAAATTATCAGTTTCACCGCAATCCTAATACGAAAAAATTTACATCACCACTCTAGATTTATGCGACAAAGCTTTCACTCTGTATATTACTCTGTGGATAAACGTTACTTCCAAATATTTTTTTGTAATGTACATAAAATATTATTCTCTATTCAGAGCGAGAGCAACTATTCTGCAATCATACAGAAGAACAAAAGGTTGTCTCACAAAACACAACAGGACGCAAAGGTATTTTTTGGAACTTTATTATTGAATAACCTAAATAGTTACACACATAAGTTAATTATTACAATGCATTAAAAATATTTGAAGTGGCTTGTTCTATACTATAACACGCGTGTATTATACATACGAACCGTCCTCTTGAATGACTCCATATATTGCTGAAAACTGCATTAAAATTTTGTGCAATTTAAAAGATATAAACAAACAAACAGTGGCGACGAATTTATTTTATACTATGTTAAAAATGCTATTTGTAGTTTTTATGAACTGAGAACTGTAGAACAATTTTCTTGCAAATAAACTCATTTTGTGGTTAACGTCAATTTACGGAGTGTCACACTGAGCAAATAATCACTATAATCCCATGTATTATAGGATTATATACATAGAGTTATATTATAGTTATGTACATAGAGTATAATAGAGGAAATGTATTTTTTTTAATTTAGAATACGCAGGCAATTTTTATTTTACCATAGCGCTAATTCTATAATAGTTTTCTTCTGAACATATACATGTCACTCATTAACTTTTTTTATTTTCGTTTTATTTAAATTATAAGACATTCATTAACTCTTTCCGTTTTTTCCCGCTTTTTAAGGAAAAAGCACATGTGAAGATGTACAAGTAATAAAATGACAATTATATGAAGATAAATTTAGTTGTTTTTTTGGTTTAATTATAGTGTTATTATATACTTACAATTAAATATAAAATTGAGTAATAACAAAATCATCATTTCATCAACTATAATTAGGTAATCTGTCCGACGAGTTTGCTTTCGTGTGAATTACTGAGAATTCGTTAACAACATACAAAAATTTTTATTAGTCTTATTTTCCAAGTAATACAGAAGTATCAATTGGTAAAGATAAAATGAATATCTTAAGAACAAATCATAACTAGTCATTAGTAGGAAGCGATGTGATATTGAATAAATAAAATGACAAATTTATTTTATTCACTTGTTTATTTCTTCAGCCAATGATTTTTTTATTACGCTTCTTATTCTTTCTTCTACTATTCTTAGTACTGGGTAAGACAACGAACATATAAACCGCCGTTACATTCGATCTTTTTGTCACGTCTTTTATAGAAAATTTAGAAAGAAAAAAAATAGTTATTTTAAATAATTTTTAAATTTTGAATTCTGGTTTATATTAAGTACACAGTAGGTCTCCCCTCAGCATATGTCGTGACGGGGTGCCACGACGCTGGTTTTCTGCGGATACCTTCATACATATAATAATATACATAATTTAGCTGCAAATAACTTTGTATTTAGATAAATATATGTTAAATATAAGTATACATTTATTCAATGTTGAATAGCCCATTTATCGAGGAAGCCTATATCTCGCCAACATATTAAACGTGGTAGTTTGTGAGTTTAATGGACGGATGTTTGTAACCATCCACATTCATATGTAACATCTTTCTTAAAATATTATCCTCATTCCTACGCATTACATGTCCATACCACCATAGACAATTACTCTTCAACCTCTCCGACACCGGCGCCACTTTCATACTTCCTCTAATGTATTCATTCTTTATCTTATCCATTCTTGTCACACCACACATCCATCTCAACATTCGCATTTCAGTTGCATACAGTTGCCTTTCATCCGTCGCCTTTACGGGCCAGCTACTTTATAAACTACTGAATTTTAATGAAACAATAATATAACTTATACACGTAGGCTATTTTCCTGCGGGCACAGCTAGTGCTAAATAATATTACTCTACGACCAATAGGAAAGGAGCAGCAAAAATGTTGCAATAACAGAAAAATGACGCGGAAAATTTGCACGGATCAGCTGTATATATACTTATAAGTAGATTGTTTATCTGTACACATTGGGTTTACTAAACACACTTGAATCAATATCTGTTCAGAGTCCATACATCAGCAGGTGGACAAACTTTCGTGTATGCGCCACGTGTTACCATTGTTTATGTTCCAGTTGTGCAAACTGTACAATAAACTCTTATTTCTATTATGTTTAGGTTCAAAATGTTTTACAACTTTTTCTCTATCGTGACCATAAACACAGGAAAGTACTTCAACATTTTTAATATCGTATTTTTGTACTAGAAATCCATGATGATTTGTTTTCAGGACTAGTAATAACAAGTGGAATGAAAAATCAGCACTTTATGCAAATTTTAATTCAAAAATAATTTATTCATGTAGGATATTTTAGCCTCTTATGAATGTCAAATTTTTATATTATAAATTTTTCCCTACCGTCCAGTTCTGTATATAGATCCAATTGAGAAGGACTGGCAAGAAACTCAATTGAATTACTTTTTTTTTTAAAGTTTATTTCGCGACCTCGGTGGTCTCGCGGTCTAGCACACCGCTTTACGTCCGATGGTCGCGGGTTCGATTCCTCGCACGGCACAAATATTTGTATTCATGAGTATGATTGTTTGTATTGGTCTGGGTATTTTCTATGTATAATATGTATGTATTTACGAAAAAAAAAATCTATGTATTTGTATCTGTAATCTAGTACCCATAACACAAGCTTTAGTTAGCTTAACTTGAGTCTAGATGGCGCTGTGTGAATTGTCCTGAGATTATTATTATATATTATTTTTATGATTTATATTGTACATTTATATAGGTATCTATATCTATGTCTAACATTAAATGAAAATCCCGTGCATGAACAACTATAGCCATGCACGCTCGTCATTTAAAAAATCGTTTAGTGAGTAATAAGGCTTTGCTCAGTAAATATCCTTTGGTATCTTATTGTAAATTTTTCTTCAGCAAGTTTGTCTTTATATCTAGTATTAATATTTTGTTTAAAATTACTAGGTACATGTTGATAACGGCTATATGAATGTATGTATGTATGTATGCTGAAGGAAGTATATTTATGTTTACATCTGACTCAGTCATGTGAATCACAAGATGGCAGATTGTAACCAGTTCTTTGTTGGTAAATACGCAAATTTCCTTCATATACAGGGTTAGCGATTCATTATACATTATACTAATAGTATAAAATCGAAAATGTCATTGTTTGTTTGTTACCTTTTTCAAAGAAAGCTGGACCGAATTTAATGAAATTTAATATGAACATAGATGTTATCACGAGAACGAACACATACTTGTTTTATCACAAAAAAGCAGATGAAAGTCGCGAGTTTTCGAATATAAAAAAAAAAAAGTAGGAAAGTGCAAAAATACCAAAAACCAAATCCTGAAAAGCAATGGCGGGAACAACCTACATAAAAAAGTTAAAATAGGCAAAGGTATAAAACATAAAACTACTTGGCTTATTCCTGGGAATATGAGAAAAAAAATCGTTAGATTCTAAATCAGAGCGGTCAAAGTGTTTTTTAAATAGATACATCACCTTGATGTAAATATGAGAAAAACCGTAACAAAGAGGTCAATATCAGTGACTAGATTGTCTCTAGAAAACGTCATATAATGTGTTTACAACAATATTCATTGATGTTATGTATTATAGTATGACTACTATCGCACCTACTGAATATACAATATGTACATATTTACCTACAATTTCGAAATAAGGATAACTTTTAAAACAAAGCACTTGTATTTTACTCGTTAATATCACATGGAACGTGACAGGCACAGGTAATATCTATTCTGCTTTAATAGCATCACGTTAAACAAGTATTTATATAATATAATATTGAGTTCATTATATTTATAAAATATATTAGCCCGTACGTATCGATAAGCTTGAAATTCCACTGTTATCAGTTTAGAAAAAATATGTAACAAGAAACAAAATGTCATTATTCTTTTATCTTTACTGATTTATGAAACGTTTGAATAATAAGATTGAGTGACATTATAATACTCACAAAACATCTGAATAGTAATGAATACATACATTTATAACAATCTATAAATATTACGTATTTACATTCATAGAGTTTAAATTTTAATATTACATATCTATCAAAATTTCACTCACTCAATGATGATTTGATATATTGCAAAAAATATAATACAATAGTTAATTACACAGTACACTTGTTCAATGAACTTTAGCGTCGACTCGAAATGAAGTAAATGCAAAAAATCTGCAGTTAATTATGACACGTTCGTTGAACAAGGGTTGCTTTTCGTGCAAATCCGTATCGATTCGTACATAGTCGTACGTTCCGTCTCTTTTGCACTTATTACAATGGCGTATTCACCGCCCTATCGAATTTCTTTACGTCATTCACATTTCCGAGGCTCAGTACATAATTTTATCTTTAGGTGCTCTGTTGTGTGTCCAGTGACAAATCATCGGTGTATTTTTGTAACTGAATTATTAAAAATATATTTTTTCTGCTGAAAGTAGTGAGAAAACTTGAATAAAATGGCTAAGGTAATATTGATTTTTATGCGAGAACATCAGTGTTTATTTTTTTTTACAGTTATATGTTGAAAACTATTTTTCTGCATCGTGTAATATCGTACCACTCGGTGACGTACTTCGTTGAGATAACTATAAAATGAAAATTTAATAACCTGATGAATCAGGTGATGGATATAATTTGTTTCATGTTAGATTAATGTTAACAATAAAACATTGGAACAGACTAATTAGTGAATAATTAAATAATTTGCAATCGATATAATTAGTAATTAATTAAAAAAAACTAAAACTTACCGATAATTACGTTGTACATACACGCAATATGTTTTTTTTAACCGGCAATATTAATTAATAATAACATATACACCTTATATGTTATTATTGTGTATTTCACCATATGACAAAATATTTCGCATGAATCTTATACATTTACATTTTATTATTTTTGAATACCTATAAACTTCCTTTTTAATTATCATATGTTATGTATATATTATACACGAGCATATTTTGCACTTCATTAAATATAAATTGTCTATGAATACTGATGCGGTTCTAATTACTATGGTTCTAAATTAAGCATTAGTTATGACACATTTTGCATATTTTCTATTATTAGAACAAAGTGGAAAACGTAAAACCTAATAGGGCAACATTTCTCAAATATGGATCAATAATCTGTGCAGTGAAAAACTGTCACATGTAGTGGTTAATGTCAACCTGTCATAATTTTATAGTGGAATTTCATATATCATTCGCTATTCTATTTTAGTGTTAGAATTAATGTCTTTTTCAATTAAAAACTTATTAGTTAAAGCCCGTAATAGTTATAAAAAGTTTATAGAAATGAATAGAAACAGTTACTGGGTAAGTTTCCGTTCAGTGATTAGATAACTAGCCACCTAATTACTAATTGTTCATCTCGATAAATTGATTCGATGTTTTCCAATATTTATTTTTACATTAAGTAGACAATTTAAATAGCTAAGTTATGGATAAAATTTAATTTATGATGGTAGTTTTATAGATATGTACCTTACCGGCGTAATGTAGGTTACTTCACATATTTACTTTTAATTGTAAAAACTGCATGTATTAAATATGCACCAATATTATAGAGAGAACGAATTTTTATTATAACGAAAGTGAACTTTGAAAACACTATTAGAGAAATTGTTTTACTGTTTGAAAGGCATATTATGCAGGGTACATATATTTATATTATGTTAATACTAGCTAATCCCCCGGATTCGCACGGGTGTACATGTATTATAAATATAAACCTTCCTTGAATCACTCTATCTGTTAAAAACCGCCGCTTTAAAATCCGTTGCATAGTTTTAAAGATTTAAGCAAACATAGGGATGGACAGACTAGGAAATAGACAGGAATGGCCACTTTGTTTTATACTATGTAATGATATACAAAATACGCAGTTATGTTCACCCAAGCAAAGCCGGAGCGCGCCACTGGTGTTGTATATTTTTTTTATAATTATTCACACCATAACTGACACTTTGGCATTTTGCCAGAATGTTTATCTGAAGACATAACTAATTCAAAACTGGACCAGGGTTGCCTACCTTAAAATGATTACCCTTCCACAAAGAAATAATAAATCTGATATAATCTTGTATATTAGGACAACCCCCATATGTCATAGTATTTTACCAATTTTGGTAGGTCAAAATCTTGTGCAAACTCAAATAACGATGATACCGTCTTCATACCGAAGGTTAAAAATCACATTTTTGTATGAATATTATAATTTATTTATTTATGTCATACTAAGTGAGCTTTACAGTCTCCCAATATGCCCACGTAGGAAGATAATATATAAATACACACAATTATAAACACTAATTACATACATATAAACTAATTACATAGTGTTGGCATCCCTGGATAATGCATTTAAAAGAGAATATACATAGGAGTTAGACATGAGTATTCCATGATTGGCAGAACCAGCGTCTGAAGCAGCCAAGTTGTTGTTCTGGATGGTATCATATAGTTTTTTAAGTTGATTTTTATTATTTAGTATAGGTACAATGGGTTTGTCAACGTCACATTTTGTGTATGAAAATCCCAAAACAATCCCAGAATAATACACTAATATATATAGACATTATAATGTATGTATGTAATTTTTTGTATTATAATTTTTTCTCTACCATCCATTTCAATATACAGATACAATTGAGAAGAACTGGCAAGAAACTCGGCTGACTTTCTTTTTTTATTTTTTTTTAAAAAGCTAGTTTATTTATATTGTTTACTTATATAGTCTATGTCTAACATAAATAAAAATCCCATATATGAACAATTGTTATGCACACTTGTCATTCTAGTAATCATTTAGTGTGTAATAGGTGTTGCTCAGTAAATATGATTTCACAGATGTTTTTAATTTATTTAAGGGTAATTCCAGTATATTCTTTGGTATATTGTAAACTTGTTTACCTGCATTGACTTTTTCTGAATGATACTTAATAACAGGAAGTTTGTCATTAAATCTAGTAGTATAAATTACTTTAATTCACAAATAAAATGTTATATATAATACACTACTTACACTAATTAGCAAGTATGAATTTGCCGTTCATTGCTAAAACTAAATTTATACAAATTAGTGACAATTATTATATTTGTTATATACATTAGTAATGCATGATCGTTCATGACAATCCATTTGTCATGTTCTAGTTGATGTACAAATTGTGAGACTCACAGTTTGCTATAATAATGTATATTTATATATATATATGTGTATAATATAATTTTTATAAGTATATAAATATAAAGTTGTCCCAATTAGCTGGTACCTGCAAAATTTGGCACATCGAATTTAAATATTTTTCTACATATCTTATTATACTACATTATATATATATATACAAATATATTTTGCTGTATGTTTAAATTTACTTTATGCTACAGGGTATATCTATACATACTTTATTTAATCAATCTTAAAGGGTATCAGATATACCTCGAATAAACCATTTTGACTAAGAAATAGAATGTAGTTTAAAAATAAAAATGTATTGTATTAAATTGATTTGACACAAATTTTTACTAAATGAATCATATAGTGCCTCTAAAGGTTTTTATATTTTCGTTCAGTTGCTCCAGAAATTATTCCGAGGGTTTGGAGTGCACTCTGCACTCGCACATTTTCGTTCAGTGAAGCTGTAAAGGCTAGTTACGATCAACAATGGTTCCAAAAAAAACCATAAGTCCTTCCGCGGGTTTGGAGTGCCATCTGCACTCGCCCCCTATCGTCCGGTGAAGCTGTAAAGGCCAGCTGCGGCCAACAGCATTAGAGTAGTACGAAAAAGAAATTCTTATGACGAACCGATACCATCGGAGAATAAGGCAGAGTGTGCTACCTACCACCACCTAGACCACCGAAATCTTCCAGTACCATGAAAAGCAATTGAAATAAACTCTATCGTTTCAATGCCAACTAAATGTATTTATTTTCCCCAGAATGTTTCGCGGCTTTAGCGCATTCTGTCGCATTTTTTAGATCTTCCTTTGTGCAAGATGTTGGGCATAATGTATTAGAAATAGTATTAAAATAGAATACAAAATCATTTATTCAAATAAACTTAATTTAAGCACTTTTGAATAGTCATAGTTATCATACTTTTAATCGACCGCTCATTCGGAAAGCTGTATCATATATACGTACATTATACATAGAAAACACCCAGACGGGTATAAACAATCATACTCAGGAATACAAATGTTTGCACCGTCCGAGGAATTGAACCCGCGATCTACAATACGGTGTGCGTAACCACTAAACCACCGAGGGCAATTACCAATATAGAAAAGGCACAGTGCCGTTTGTAGCACTCTAAATCCATGTTGGTCTATCCATTCAGATAGTAGAGCAGCGAGATAACATGAGATAGCAAACATAATGATAATGCCTCGCCAATTTGCGGTATACGTGTATAGGAAATTAACTTTCTAGATAAACGAGTGCTTTGAATAAGCGATATATTGGTCTTCTCAATAAATATACTCTTCACGACTCTTATCTTGTTGTAGGGTGGACAGAGACATCGTCAAGTGTCAATAGAGAGTGGGAAACAAACTTTTAAATATAACACGTTGTCCCGGTTATCAATCAAACTAATTATTTATTACATATATATATATATATGTACTAGCTGTTCCCGCGACTTAAATAAAAGTAGCCTAAGTTACTCCATATTACTATTGGTGGTATTTGGTGTATGTACCGTATTTACCATATATTCATATGCATGTAGTAAAAAACTGTTATTTCAATATTACAAACAGACACTCCAATTTTATTTATATGTATAGACTATATTACAGTTTGTATTCCTATAATACAACTTAATATAGACTTATTAACTACTTTCTTTTGCTACCCTCTGAATCATTCTTGTACAGCACTCCATGAATTTTCCTCTTTGGTTCCGATTTGAGCCTTTGAGATATATATTGAAGCCTAAATAAATTAGTGCTGGTTGGTAGTTTGTATTCACATGTTTCGACTTGTAAATTTGAACTTACAAGGTTTGTTTAAAAGAGCAACACACAAGTTTCTTGCTTATTCTTCTTGTGATGAGACAGCTTTCCGAATGAGCGGTAAATTTAAAAAAAAATTGTTGATTATTCAGAAGTGCTTAAATTAAGTTTATTTGAATAAATGATTTTCTATTCTATTTCTGTTCTATTCTATTTGCTACTATTATATTTTTTCTTTATAATTTTCCTCCTTCACTTCAGAAACAACCCTTTACATGCTCACATTTTGTTGGGTATATTTGAATCCCAGCCTATTTTATCATCCTCAAGAACAAGCAACAAGTCAGGTCAGTTAGCCTATCTTGGCAAATGGCAATCTACCACGATGGTTTCCAAGAGGAACCGCGTGGATTTCAACCTGATACATACATACATTGCTAGAAATGGGGTCGTCAACCAGGAACAGGTTAAGAAGACCAATTTTCCGCTGGTCGAAAACTTCTATATTGGAAAACAGAACGTAAACATCGACCGCGGTGAAATAATTGACTTAAAAAGCTTCTGGTTCGAGGACTAATATTTTTTAACAATTCTAATCCTGCTGGCCATATTTGACATCTTAATTAGACGAAACAAAAGACAAACTAGAAATATAAGTATACCAAGCCGCATGGCCAAATCGCTGTCCGCCCAAACTGGCCTCCATCAGAAAGTCAGACGTCATCGCAACCGTGAATCAATCGTTCCAAACGTTTACATGAAAATTCCATTTCATGAATGCGTTGTCCAAACATTAGAGTATAAGTATTCTAATTACCCAATTATGTATTTTCTAACTGTAACAATACATTAACACTATGAAGTTTATATGACGTTGTAATTTGGGAAAAAAAAGAGCTTTGTTTAAATGAATACTATGTTCGAGAGTTTTTTTTAGTCATAATAGAATGTTGCACCCGCCTGCGCTAATGGTTTACGCTGGCGTGGCTCCAGTCGAGGATGATAAGATGAATGAGGTCAAGTCAGTTAGCCCATCGTGGTAAATTCACCAAGAATTTATCACGATGGATACCAGGGGGAACCGCGTGGGAGTCAACCTGACACGGTACACAGCAACTGGGATCTTCAGTCCACATTACTAACAATCCCCTTTCCCCCCTGTTTCAAGAGTTAGCACTACCCTTATGAGACCTTCGCAACAGTCACCATATACTGAATCATCACCACATGATGATGTGACGCCTCAACATAGATAAGATAGATAACTCATTGCAAACATAACACAACAAATTACAAGTAATACACAAAATAAACATAACATAGCAATAGGAGTTACCTCAGCTGTTGCTGATATAAGTACAACCTCAATGAGGTGAACCTATATAGCGCCGGGTTTCAGGCAACCCCAGGTACTCATTGAACAATAGTACATGCGGGTACTTATAAATTTCACCATTATGTGACAACGCTGGTACATCTTATACATCTCATGCGTTGGTGCTTCTAAGTCTTTTTTTTTGTCAGAAAAATCTTCATAGAAGTCCACCGGCTTAGGAGCCTACGGAGATGGATAGGTGTCTTGCGTTGTTATTCCAGAGTACCCTTTTTGCGTCAAAAAATATCTTCATAGAGGCCCAATACACTGAGGACTTTCGGATTCCTACCAGATAATAACCTGGATAGAATGAAATAGAAGAAAAGAAATCATTTATTGAAATAAACTTACATTGAAGCACTTTTGAATAGTCATTACGTTTTTTTAATCTACCGCTCATTCGGAAAGCTGTCTCATCACAAGAAGAACGAGCAAGAAACTTGTGTGTTGCTCTTTTAAATAATTTTATTCTTACTTTGCAATTTAAATTTAAGTGTGTGAATACAAACTACCGACCTGACGGCTCTTAATATATGCTGTCGAGCACATGGAAACGTTTTAGCATTCGTGCATGACAATTCCCGAGCCGTAAGATATATATTTCAGTCGCCAAATCACCAGTTTGTTTTACAAGTTGTATTTAAGTTGTAATGTTATTGTTATTCTTAGTTAAGGTTAGGGTTATTGATTGGTTATTTATTTATTTATTTTAATTTTAATTCGGATTACATCCATATTGTGGTAGTAAAAAACTTATAAAACTATGTTAGTAACTTATAATGTACATATACGTAGATATATTTAATTCATATATCTGTGTCCACGTCCAGAAGCACTGGGTCCACAATGCAATGTTATCCAGTGCCTCTGGAGCGGATTAATCTGTGATTATTGATTAATCTGTGAAATTATAGGATAAGAAGCATGATATCTTAGTCCTCAGAAATGACGGTTTACTGATATCACGGTCGACACATGACGACGTGATGTCCGTAATACTGTTTATGTGACGTTTATCACTTACAACCAGAGTTTTATCAATTCATTTCATTCATCGCTTCATACAAGGCACACGTATCACTTGTCCAATATAAAGTTCTCAATAAGCTATCGAGTTTGCCTATATTTCTAAAAAAATCACCAGTGACTGTTTTACCTCCATCCCGCTCTCGAGCGTGTGGCGCTGCAGTCGCTATAGAGTTTTACAGAAAACCAATGTACGATATCACCGCGGATGCCGCTTTCGTAGTCGTAAGTGATGCTTACAGAATGTTAATAGCTTGGCCGTCAGCTTATTTGTCATTTCAATGACATAAACCCTCACCCTCCTCTCCAAGCAAGCACCCTTCCTTGGAGGCAAGTGTTGAACCCTTGCTTGGGGGGGGGAAGGAGATTGTTAGTAATGTGGACTCATGACCCCATTACTAGCAATGTACCATGTCAGATTGACCTCCACGCGGTACCTCCTGGAAACCATCTTGATAAATTCCTAGTGAATTTGTCACGATGGGCTAACTGACCTGACCTCATGCTCATCTTATCATCCCCCACTGGTGCCCCGCCAGCGTAAACCGTTAGCGCGGCGGGTGCACCATTCCATTATCAACAATAAAGAACACAAGCAGTCAGTTTTGTATAAATTTTAGGTAAATGTTAATCGAATTAAGTAATCATAAGTTATGTTCTGTTTCAGAAACTGCAAATGTGTGGGAATGAAGAGGAAATGCGGGAGGTAGCCGGCAGGATCTGTAGGAACTACCTGCACGGCGCCTGGAAGAGTGTGGACCCCACAGACCTGGAGTTCAGACGAATCAGGTGAGAGGAACGAGGTATTTCCAAAATAGGAATATATCTAGATGATGAAACACCTACCGAAACTAGGAGTAACGTTTGTAAATACACTGTTTTAATTTTGACTTGGTCATTATTTGGGCCGTTCTAGCGTTACGTAAGCAGATTTATTACAATTATTTACCATCCCCCATCCCCCTTGTCTGCCAAAGTAAGCAAAGTTCCTTACCCCCTCCCCTCCCCTCATGCTAACGTAAGACAAGTTGAGGGTTGCCATTCGTGTAAAAAAGTAAATAACTACCGATGACGTATTCATCACCTAGACTCCCTTGTCATCCAAAATAAGCAAAGTAAAGATCTATCTCCTCCCCCCCCCCCCTCCCTTCAATAATACTTGAACGGTTCCTTTATACGGACAATTAGGAAAAATCACGGGATCTTAGCAGATTTAATTATTATTGAGTTCCCGATATTGTGGCAGTGTTTCAACCGCCATGATCACAGGTAGACTGAAGAGCTGCGGATAGATGGTAAATAAAATCTTTTATTGGCAGACATATTCGTCTAAATTCATACGTCTTTGTTTGTTGCTACTGTTGAAACTCGCTCGATACTCATTTTAGTATGAAATCTATAGTTTCGTATATTAATATTGGTTGTTTTGTTTGTATAATAGAATGCTTCATTGAAATTGTTTTATCTAAACAATTTATATATACAAATGCTCACTGAATACCGATTTATTAATTTTTATTCCCATGATTTCAAAAAAAAAAAACAATATAAACACTTGGTATTAACCAAGTGTTAATATTGGTTCAGATTTTGCCCAATGTGGGCAAAATCTGAACCAGATAAAATGACAACTTTTAATGAAATCTAAGTATATATGTATATTCTTTAAACTTAACCCAGTCGTTTAAACGTAACATTTCAAGGTGATACTGATCGTCCACTATTGCAAATTGTGGTATGTACGTTTGTTTGTTTACAAAAATAATAATCCAGTATATAATCCGGTTTTGTGACAGATACGCAAATGTTAATAAAAAATGTAAATAAACATGTCTGACCTTGTCGTTAGCCTGCGTTGGGCGTGGTCCAAGTGATGGGCGATAGCGATTTCATGAGCGATCTGTTTATCATTTGATTATATCTGCTGATAGCTGTTATTGATGAAATGTTACGGTGTAGTGGTATTATCGCATGTGTATGGACCGATAAGATGCATTAAATGATATTCACGGTCCAGTTTGTGTATTTTGTATTTACTAGAGATTGTGTGCAGTGATTAGGAGTTAGATAGTGTATTGATAGCCTCTGTTATTTTGTAAATCATATCAACTACATAAACAGCTCATAAATAGTCGCAGAGTTGCGAGAATTGACGTCACATAACATTTAAAAACTCAACTCAGTGGTTTTTTTAAATTAATTTTATACAATAAATTAATATTTATTTTGTAAAGTTTTTACATTCCCAACAGTGCAAATAGGCCATAGAAAACACTGATTTTAGGAGGGAAAGGGAATTGTTAGTAATGTGGATTGATGATCTTATTGCTAGCAATGTACCATGTCAGGTTGACCTCCACGCAGTTCCCCCTGGAAACGATCGTGATAAATTCTTGGTGAATTTGTCACGAGGCTAACTGACCTGACCTCATGCTCATCTTATCATCCTCCACTGGTGCCCCGCCAGCGTAAACCCTTAGCGCAAGCGGGTGCTCATGTCATCATCTTATTTTCATATACAGTTCATGATAAAATAAACATTACAATTTCGAAAGTTAAACGCTACAGCCTGTGACACGCGCCACAACCCACACGTATTGTGCTTGTGGTGAGAAGATTAAAAAACGCGTAGAAAGAAAATCCAATTCACTTTTTTCACCAACAACTTTACTTGGTTTTTACTTGAAAAATACTTATTTTAACAATAATACGGCCACAAATTAAGTTCTGGTGTCGGTAAAAAATAATGTGATTGAATTTTATTTTTTCTCTAATCTATGGTTTTGATACAAAAACATATTACATACTGGCTGTGCCTGGCGACGCTACTCGCATTATATTTACCCTTATAAATTTTTTTTTTTTCAGGCTCGGTATGTGTTACACACATCCTACTTTACTTCATATATGCACTGCTTATTTGACAAGGTCCTGAGGCATTTTGCGTTTTAGTCTGCGACTATGTCTTTGCCAGGCGGTTGGGATGATTTGTCATTCTTTCATCGTATGATTTGATTTGTTTTAAAATCTCTTGTTTGACAGTGTCTATCTCCAGATCATGATGCAGTTGTTCATTTGTGACATACAGTCCCCCATAATTGGATGCCATAGGTCCAAATCGGTTTTAGTATGGCTTTGTAAACAAGAACTTTGCTGTTCAATGACAATTGTGACTTGCGACTTAACAACCAGTAGAGTTTCCGCATTTGCAATCCCATTTGTTTGCTTTTGGTAAATATATGTTTTTGCTATGTTAATCGCTTATCCAGGTGTAAACCCAGGTATCTAACCTGGTCTTTTTTAGGTATCATTAGATTGTTGAGCGTAACTGGTGGGCAGATGCCTTTCTTTAAGGTAAAGGTGACATTAATTGATTTATTTTCGTTTGCCTTGATTCACCACTTCTTAAGCCAGTTTGATATGTCATTTAGCCTACCCTCACTCATCAAATCACTCACAGTGTATCTTTTTATGGGTATTTTTTTTTCAAATTCAAATTCAAAAATCATTTATTCATGTAGGACATTTCAGCCGCTTGTAAACTTTTTTTTTTTATTATATTTTTTTCCCTACCGTCCATTTTAGTATGTATATAGTATACCCAACTGAGAAGAACTGACATGAAATTCAATTTAATTATTTTTTTAAAAGCCAGTTTATTTACAATGTATATTTATATAGGTGTCTATGTCTAACATTTAATGAAAATCCCGTGCATGAACGACTATTGCCATGCACGCTCGTCATTCAAGTAATCGTTCAGTGAGTAGGCTTTTCTCAGTAAATATGATTTAACAGATGTTTTGAATTTATTTAAACCCTTAAATTCCGGTATATTGGTATATGTGAATGATAAAAAAAAATATCAAGTATTTTCTTAGATACAAACATAGAATCAAAGTATAAAATTAACTAATATATAGTACTAAGTTCTCATCTCATAGTTTTTATGAAGTTTAAGCTGCGTATGTATATTATAAATGCGTTCCGAATGAGTAGTAGAATAAAAATAAATTTATTAAGGTAATAAACATTAGTTCACATTAAAAAAAAACCCAATTCATAATCTTCAGTATGTACTTACTATTTATTTTATTTTAAATAGTTAATAAAATAAAAACAAAGTGACTATTAATAATATATTACTAATATATTTATTTTTAAATCATCATCATTACATAGTATAAAAGAAAGTCGCTGTCGCTGTCTGTCCGTCCCTATGTATGCTTAAATCTTTAAAACTACGCAACGGATTTTGAAGCGGTTTTTTTAATAGATAGAGTGATTCAAGAGGAAGGTTTATATATATAATACGTGTACACCCATGCGAAGCCGGGGTGAGTAGCTAGTAATAAAAAATGCATTTTTTTATTATCAACAAATTAAACATGTGAATGTTTATTTCCTTAATTTTTACATCAGTCAACAATCTTAATTACATTCTATATTTCCGTTGCGTATCTATTTAACAAGGAAACGTTTGTCGACCGCCATCTTGTAATATAGGACAAAGGAAAATTACAACAGATAACAACATAACAAACAGACAGTATGATAAACTTGTTGTCAATATCGTAAGGGAAATCGCATGTTGGATTTGTTTTGTATTATTATTTTTATACCCAAACTGTAACAGTTTGTCACTGAATAGTCAACAGGCTTCTAAGCTACATCCGAACTCTAATGCCTGATAATGAAGAATATCCTTCAATTCTTGTCCCTGACGGGTCTAGGTAGCGAACTCTGAAAAGGGCGAGCACAATAGATCTATGTAGGTCGCAGTGCTACAGGTGCTACACATCTGACAATAGCCCAAACAACCCAATAAAAAAAAAAATAATGCCTGATGAATGATGATCTATAAATTGCTAAAAACTGCATAAAAATCCGTTGCGTAGTTTAAGAGATGTAAGCGAACAGATTGCGGAAGTGAATTCATTTTATACAATGTAAACATGAATGTAAGTATCAAGAAACAGTAATAGAAAATGAACAGAACGCTATGTTGAATGGATCGTTCCGTTTACAATGAGTGCTTGAAAGGATTTAATATTTGACGACCCCGGTGGTCTAGCGGTCCAGTCTACCGCTTTACGACCGATGGTCGCGGGTTCGATTCCTCGCACGGCACAAACATTTGTATTCATGAGTATGATTGTTTGTATCGGTCTGGGTATTTTCTATGTATAATATGTATGTATTTACGAAAAATAAATATCTATGTATTTGTATCAGTTGTCTAGTACCCATACCCATAGTAGCTAGCTTAACTTGAGTCTAGATGGCGCTGTGTGAATTGTCCTGGGATTATTATTATTATTATTATTATATATCATACAAAACATAAATATAATGCAACATAACATAGCTTGCGAAAATAACCGTCGTCCATTTTGTTTTTACAAGTAACACAGCGCCATCTAGTCCCATTATAAGCAGAGCTTGTGTTATGGGGACTAGACAACTGATGTAAATAGATTTACTTAGATTTAAAACATACATAATATAGAAAACATCCAGACCAATACAAACAATCAAACTCATGAATGCAAATATTAATTAAACAACAAAACAACTGTAAAATCATATTTACTGACCAAAGCCTATTACTCACTAAACGATTACTTGAATGAGCGTGCATGGCAATAGTTGTTCATGCACGGGATATTCATTTAATATTAGACATAGACACCTATATAAATATACATTGTAAATAAACTGGCTTTAAAAAAAAAGTAATTCAATTGAGTTTCTTGCCAGTTCTTCTCAATTGCATCTATACTGGACTACTAAACTGGACCGTAGGGAAAAAATTATAATATAAAAAATTTAACGTTCATAAGCGGCTAACAAGTCCTACATGAATAAATGATTTTTGAATTTTAAATAATTCATTTTGTTTCCCCACAGCGGTGGTCTATCGAACTTCCTCTACTACGTGGCGTTACCTGATGATGTGAGCAAGCTGGGAGGGTACACCAGGCGCGAGAGTTCACCAGACGCGGAGACTGACGGGGAACCGGAGACGTTGGCCAGCCGGCTGGCGAAGAAGAACCTCACCAGGTCCAACTCCTTCAGCATTGAGGAACCGAAGAAGGTAAGTCTGTTTGAAATTAACAGTCCAAATAGATATCTTTATTCTTATATAGGAAACACCAGGGCCGGATCTACCTATGGGCTTTTTGGGCTGCAGCCCAGGGCCCCGATGATACAAAGGGCCCCCATTTTCCACTGAAACGACATTTGAAATATAGAAAAATATCTAGAATGTTAAAAAATCTATCATAGATGAACGGGATGAAATGAACGGGGAATTTCTGGTCGCTTGTGTTTGGTCAGTGTATTTTTTTAGTTGAGTAATATAATTAGGTAGGGGCTCTAAGGGGCCGTTCAAGTATTACGTAAGCACTATAGGGGGGCGGGGGGTCTTTTCTTTGCTTATTTTGGATGACATGGGGGTGGGGGAGTCTGTATGATGATTACGTCATCGGTCGTAATTTAATTTTTTACACGAATGGCAACCCTCACATTGTCTTTGCTAAAAAAAACAATACATTAATTGAGAAATGTTTACGTAAGCATGGGGGAGGGGGTAAGAGCTTTGCTTACTTTTGCTGACAACGGGGATGGGGGGTAAATAATTGTGATAAATCTGCTTACGTAATACTTGAACAGCCCCTAAGTAGATTTAGCCCAGGGCCCCACAAATTCACGATCCGTCCCTGGGAAACACCCAAACCTGTTACAAATCAGAATTTACAGTTAACACAGCGCCATCTAGTCCCAAGCTAAACAGATGTTATGTTATGGGTACTAGACAACTGACAAACTAACTAACTAAGTATTTATATACTTAGTTATTCTAATTACTTAAAGTTATGAAAAAATTTTTATATATTTGTATCAGTTATCTATCCATAACAAAGGCTTTAGCTAGCAAAACTTGGGTCTAGATGGCCCTGTGTGAATTGTTATGAAAAAATATGATTATAGAAATAATATTATATATTTTTTTGTAAATACATACATAATATACATAGAAAACACTCAGACCATTGCAAACAATCATACTCATAAATACAAATGTTTATAGTATGCGAGGAATCGAACCTACGACCATCAGAAGTGAAGTGGTTAAACTACTAGACCTTATTTACACAGTAGTATAGTACCCATAACACCATACTGATATTAACACTTTTTGTACATACATAATATACATAGAAAATACTCAGATCGAACAATCATACTCACGAATACAAAAGTTTGTACTGAGCGTGGAATCGAACACGCGACAATCGGAAGGCGGCGTGCTAAACTGCTGCACCACCGAGGCCGTTGTATTTATAGCGGTATGTCCTATTATAAACTTGTACGTAACCACATAACAGCTTCGTCTGCGTCACACTTACTTGACATTTATCAGTATACTAGCTGTCCCGGAAATCGTTGTTTTGCCTTAAAATAAAAAAAAATAGGGGTGGACTACCCCTAACATTTAGGGGGATAAATAGATGTTGGCCGTTTCTCAGACCTACTCAATACGCTCACAAAATTTCATGAAAATCGGTCAAACCGTTTCGGAGGAGTATGGGAACGAAAACTGTGACACGAGAATTTTATATATAAGATTTCGCCCAATTTACATTATATCTTTTTAAATTATAGCCTACTACCCTTTACCCGCGGCTTCGCTCTCCTTGAATGCATTTTTTTTAATAAAAAGAATCCTATGTTCATTCTAATACCTCCAAGAACTTGTGTACAAAATTACACGATGATCGGTTCAGTAGTTTTTGCGTGAAAGCATAACAAACATACCTACTTACATTTATAATATTACTAGCTACTCGCCCGGCTTTGCCCTGGTGTACATGTATTAGATATATATAAACCTTCCTCTTGAATCACTCTATCTATTAAGAAAAAACCGCTTCAAAATCCATTGCATAGTTTTAAAGATTTAAGCATACATAGAGACGGACAGACAGCGACAGCGACTTTGTTTTATACTATGTATAGTAAGGATGTGTTATTCTCGTTCAGCAGTGGACGTCTTCCAATCTGAAGTGATGATGATGATGAAGCTCATATAGAAAATCACGTGAATTATTTGTGCAGGTGCTGTTAAGAATTTACGGGCAGGTGCACGGAGAGAGGGCCATGGACGCGATTGTGACGGAGTCGGTCATCTTCACACTGCTGTCGGAGAGGCGGCTGGGGCCCAAGTTACACGGCGTCTTCTCAGGCGGCAGAATCGAGGAGTACATACCTGTATGTTTTTATTTTTTAAATATATATACTGACTTTTTTTTTTTACCCTGATACCATCGTAATGCACAGATTATTATATTAGAGTCCCAGTTAGTTTGTGTTCCCATGAGGTCAGATCCCTGCCCATCACAAATTCCTACAGTAATTTATCACGATGACTATACGGCCGCGTGACGCGCACGCATTGTGTTTGCTGAATTAAAATAAATTAGAACTGTGATCACCTACTGTGAATATATATACTGACTAGCAGACCCGGCCACGCGTTGCTGTTGCTAACAGTTTTTTTTATATATAAAAATATAATAACCATAAAGGTACGTAACTGACGCTTCCCTAACATTTTGGTAGCAGAGTAGTTTCCCAAACAACCGACTAGCAGACCCGGCCACGCGTTGCTGTAGCTAACAGTTTCTTTATACTTTATTACTTTTATATTCAAAAAAAAAATAACATTCTTCATTGTACATGTTATATAAACGGAATATTTACCAAGATAATATTATATATATAATACTGGCTGATCCGGCAAACGTTTTATTATTATTAAAAAAATTGAAGACAATAACATGGCGATTTTTTTTATATAAAAAAAAATTTGAGTGGTAGAGTGAAAATTCAGGAAAGTATATGGTTTGATGTTACATCACAGAAAAACAAAATATATGTCCAAAAATAAAATAAAATTTGGTTGGTCACATAGGGGTATAAAAATAGATAGCTATCTAAGATCTACCGACTACATATATAATTTCATAAAAAAATCATAAAACCATCTTATCTAATTATCATTGCGACTATAATATTGCATTTATATATATCTGTATCTGATATCTTCCAAAACGGTCTAGATGTATTATACATATATAAACCTTCCTTTGAATCACTATGTGTTGCTAAAAAATTGCTAAAAATTCATTAAAATCCGTTGCATACTTTAAAAGATCTAAGCGCACAGACAGCTGAACTGACTTCATTTTGTATTATTATTTGTTTGTTTCAGACTATGCTATATGACCCATATTATAGACTTACCACGCTGTAGACCACATTGATAAATGTTGTACATATTTACAATAATACAGATTCATTTAAATTCAAATTTGGGAATTCAATATTAATATTATTTTTTAAAAAAGTTTTTTTGTATAGAATAATTTCAGGTAGACATTATTTAACTGCTAGATTTGTTTCAATTAAAGTGCCCACGGGTGATCTCACGTTCCCAACGTGTAAGTTTACTTTCGTTGCGGCGTGTCCCACCGGTGGGCATGTGACCTTTAACGTATTATAGACTATACTTATATCTTTACATATATATGTATATATATATATGTAAAGATACATATGTATTGTCTGGAAATTTCTTTGAGATTTTTTTTTTATATTAAAAGGAAATAAAAAAATATTATATATAAATATATTAAAACATCTTGTTTGTCCTTGTTCCAGGCGAGACCACTTCTCGCTAAAGAGCTGTCAGATCCCGCGATTTCAATGAAAATTGCAGAGAAAATGGCCGCGATCCACTCTATGGACGTGCCTCTATCCAAAGAGCCTAATTGGCTATGGAAGACCATGGCCAAATGGTTGAAGACTGTTAGGGAAGAGAGACTGTCAAGCACTAATAATGGAAAGGTGAGGATAATGGAACGGTGGAAATACCTTCGGTGTACCCTGGAGGCCTCAGTGGTCTGGCGGTTTAGCACACCGCTTTAGTTCCGATGATCGCGGGTTCCTCGTACGCACAAACATTTGTACTCATGAGTATGATTCTTTGTATACATCTGGGTATTTTCTATGTATGTATTTACAAAAGTAATCTAAATATTTATATCAATTGTCTAGTACCCATAACACAAGCTCTGCTCACCATGAGACTTGATGGCGCTGTGTTAATTGTCCAGGGTTATTTATTTACATATCAATAGTTGTATTTACCTAGAGTTGCCAACCGTCCTGTTTTCCCAGGACAAGTCCTAGTTTATGTAATGTCCTGGGGTGTCCTGGATAGTTTTTAAGCAGCGTCCTGAGTTTTTAAAACGCCCTGATAAGATCATGTATTTCCAAATTCTCGCGTAGTTTTTACAATGCCTGCTCGAATTGTAGAGTTTTTTTAAAATACTTTGAAGTATTAAGACTTATTATTACCATTACTTGAATTTTATTTATAGAGCCTATTGATATATATATAATAATACTAGCTTTTGCCCGCGGCTTCGCTCGCGTTAATTGATTGAATTCAGGGGTGGAATTTATCAAATCTTTTTTAGGGGATGCCTACGTCATAGTAGATTTATGCATGCATAGTCTCAGCCCGATCGGTTTAAAATTGACAAACTTTCATCCCCTATTTTATCCCCTTGGGGGTAGATTAATCAAAATCCTGTCTTAGCGGATGCCTACATCATAACATCTACCTGCATGACAAATTTCAGCCCGATCCGTCCAGTAGTTTGGGCTGTGCGTTGATAGATCATATGTCAGTCACCTTTGAGTTTATATATTTAGATAATTATAACAAGTATAATACTGAGTCCTGGTTTTAAACTAAATTGTCCCGGTTTTTCCAAATTCAAATCTTAGTTTTTTAAATTTGATGTTGGCAACCCTATATTTATCACGTCGATATTAATAATATCTCAGTCTACCACATCTCAGATAATAGTCGTAATTTTATATAATTATGTGTATAATTTTCCAGAATGAACAAGAGGAACAAGTAATTAAAAGACTGAAAAGCGTAGACTATGAGAAAGAAATTGAGTGGCTCAAGAAGTTCATAGCGACCATAGACTCTCCGGTCGTGTTCTGTCATAATGACATGCAGAAAGGTAATTATAAAAATTCAAAATATCTACACTCATGTAGGTCTATTACAGACTCTTATGATATGTCAAATCTACCGTCAGTTCGGAATGATTTCGAGATGAGAACTGACAAGAAACTCAGTTCGTATTCTTTCCAAATAAATGTTGTACATGTACAATAATACAGATTCATTCAAATTCAAATTCGAAATATCTTTATTCATGTAGGTCTATTACAGACTTATGATATGTCAAATCTACCGTCAGTTTGGAATGATTCCGAGATGAGAAGAACTGACGAGAAACTCAGCTCGTATTCTTTCCAAATAAATGTTGTACATGTTTACAATAATACAGATTCATTCAAATTCAAAATATCTTTATTCATGTAGGTCTATTACAGACTTATGATATGTCAAATCTACCGTCAGTTTGGAATGATTCCGAGATGAGAAGAACTGACGAGAAACTCAGCTCGTATTCTTTCCAAATAAATGTTGTACATGTTTACAATAATACAGATTCATTCAAATTCAAAATATCTTTATTCATGTAGGTCTATTACAGACTTATGATATGTCAAATCTACCGTCAGCTCGGAATGATTTCGAGATGAGAAGAACTGACAAGACTGAATGACTTACTGATGAATCCGTGTCTATAAATTTACGAGATATAGCTAGCAATAGTTACTTACTAACAATACTCTCCCGTGGAAAGGGAATTGTTAGTAATCTATGGTACATTGTTGTCAGGTTTCCCCTAGAAACAATTCCTGGTAAATTTACCACTATGCATCAGCTGACCTGACCTCAACGTCATAGTATCTTCCACCATACTTTATCATCAATTTTAAAAAATCCTCTCCTGAATTAGGTAGTTAATTTATATAATAGTTAAAGTTAAATAGTTTCTCTGCACAACTTGTGGTTGACTGGTAGAAAATGCCGTAAGGCGTTAAGTCCGCCCTATGTACTTTTTCTTTGGTATTTTGTGCATTGAAGTTATATATATAAATAAATAATAGTAAATGCAACTTCTCTTCTCTTCTCCTGCAGGCAACATCCTTCTTCTAGAAGACGTAGTGCAATCAACAGGCGAAGAAGACGTATCAGTCTATGTACAGACTTACGACACAGATTCACCGAAATCCAACAAAGAGAACAACCATACGAAGAGCTTCGAGATGACGCAGTACGATGACCAGAACACCTCCGACAGCATCATGAGTCACATGTCGGACAGCGGGGAACCGAAGCTGGTACTCATAGACTTCGAATACTGCGCGTACAACTACAGGGGTTTTGATATAGCAAATCATTTTCAAGAATGGATGTACGATTATAATAATCCGATTTATCCGTTCTACGATGAAGTGTTGGAGAGTTACCCGACGTTGGAGCAAAAGGTGAGTTATGTTTCAGCTTGCTATATATATTGTCACTATAAAAAAATAGAGCTTAATATAGTTCAACAGGTTGGAACACGAATAATTTTATGGTAAACTAGTTACCCATCTCGCCTTCGCACGGTTCACACTTGCGTAAAGTAACACCTAATTTTAAAAATACTACTTTTTTTGTATACTATATACCGGCCCGGCTTCGTACGGGTGTATATGTATAATATATATAAACCTTCCTCTTGAATCACTCTATCTATTGTTAAAAACAGCATTAAAATCCGTTGCGTAGTTTAAAAGATAAATGAACAGACAGCGAAAGTGACTATTCTAAAGATGAAGATATTTACAACTCTCTACGTTTCGACTAGGTTGCACTAGCCGTGGTCACGAGCTGACTTACTCGAAACGTCGCGAGAGGTAAATACCATAAATTTATTCATGTCAAAACTCATTTAACTATATTAATAATGTTTACCAAACATGGTAATTTAAAAATAATAGAGCTAACTCTAAAATTGCATGTTTTTTATTGAAATCACTTCAGTCCATATAAATTGCAAATGGCCAGACAATATCATTAGTCTGTCGATCAATAAGGTTAAGCGATTGTGGCCGATGCAGAATGGATGACCATGTATGTTATTTTGAAAGGTTTGAACTAGATGATGAAAAGACTGTAATGTTTGAGGGCATGACTGTACAATGGATTTATTTATATGGAAGAATATTATTATAGTCTTATATTATTTATGAATATGGTTAAAAATTAATTGTTACAGAAATGTAAGTAAAAAAAGAAACGTAATTCAATATAATAGCATGACTTTATACGTATGTTTAATACAAGAACGTAGTCACACTACAATTGTGATCAATACTCTGCTGTGTCTGCTATTTTTATATATATATATATACTAAGCATATATATAAAAATAGCAGACCCGGCCACGCGTTGCTGTGGCTAAAGTTAAAATAATATTGCGACTATAAATTGAGATGTAAGCTATCCTATCTTTCAAGTTGGATCAAATTGCACACAATGTGCAAATCAAATTTGCAATCGGTTCAATAGTGGAGTCCATCGCAGACAAACGTGACACGTAATTTTTATATATACGAAGATATATATACATTTTTTTAAATATTTACTATGACTTTACGCAGTAAAAAAATTAAGGACACGTGTATAGCACATTACATATATACTTACGCTTCTCTAAGAAACGCCACTATACAACCTATGTGGTTGTTACCCATACATAAACGAAATATCTCCTTTGGAAAATATACACTAAATCCTGAAGACATAAAAACAATCGCTCCTAAGAATATCCTTCAATTTTTGACCCTGACGGTAGCGAATTCTGAAAAACGGGCGAGCATAATAGATCTATGTAGGTCGCAGTGTTACAGGTATACGCACCTGATATTTAACAAACCCCCTCAATAAAAAAAATTCGCTATACACATGTCTCACAAAGTATTTAAGTCATTACAATTAGAATCTGGCACCATAAGTATCATAATTTTAATTAGTTCTCAAGTACTATTAATGTCAAAATAGAAGATTTAATAACAGAAAAACTGTTCAAAAAAACTCAAAATATAATCTATTGGAAGGTATTTCAATTCTTCGATTTCTTTAGATTGTGGAATCGCCTTCTAGAAATGGTATTTCCGAACCGAAACGATATTGAAACTTTCCAGAAACTTGCAATTCTCCTGATGTTGCGGTTGCTCATGGGCGGAAATCACTTACCATCAGACGTTAGCCTGCTGTATATATAAACATACTTATGCTGATGTTATTAAGTAATCTCATTATACATACCGTTACAAACCATTAATTATATATAGTGAGTCACTCACTACAATACGCTACGCATAAGATAGAACGGGACAGAAGCATAATCTCTTAGTCTGTCGTGTTCGAAGTAATAACGCTAAATTCATTTACCTCTACATAGTTATTAAATATATATTATGATACCAAATTTTTGATAATTGAATATCTTCCTTACTTGAAATTATTGTATGTATAGATACAAATATAACGTTAAAACTAGTTAATAAATCCTTCATCTGGAAATTCTTCCTCAAAAGATATTAAGCAGATCATTCGTAGATTATCATTGCATTTAAAATAATAATTTTACTGCAATTTCTATATAGAATTACATATATTAAAGAACATATACGAAGCTCACGACTGTGTCTATTTGGGATATGCAGAAATCAAATGAAATTAATACTCAGACAGGCCTTTTTCACATTATTCAATGACTAAAAGATATAATTCTTAGCATTTCGATTTTGTTATAAAAATGTATAAATTTATAAATATATTATTAATTTCTGGTTGAAAATAATAATATATTTATTAATTCAAAGAGACGAAATTCGTTTTGTTGATCAACACAGGAAACTGAATTGAATCTGAGCCTTTTTTATGATTCTTATTAGGGTCTGAGTGTCCCCTCCTTTATTTCCTGTGCAACACAATCTCAAATCAATATCAATATTGCACTCCGAAATTGCTCGTCCACGCTTTCATCTTTTTCTTATAGTTGCAGACGAATGGAATCTGAATACATCATACGAGCTTGAGGTTCGTAGTTCATTGTACATTGGGTACTTTATAAACCTCTTTTAAATTGTTTTGTAAACATTTGTTCTAGGTATACGGTTAAAAAAAAACATGTATTTCTTCTGTTCATTTTTTAATTTTGAAATCTCAACATTTATTTTATTATTTGTTTAATAAAATTTAAGCATAGTTTTCACTATTTTTCATTTAATTTTATTCAATGGATTCTTTGACATTATTTTTCTTTTTCTATTATTTTTAGTGATAGAGAGATTTAAAAATATTATTATTTTAAGAATATTCATTTTTATTGGACAGCATTTTATCATTTAAATATATTAGGATATTTTTAATAATTATAGAACAAAAGCGCCATTGTTTTTACTTTTAATTTAGTTTAATGGTATAAAACATTTAAAAGAGGTTTCATCAACTAACTCAAAAGCTTTCTTTAATAAAACACTACAATTTGAATCAAATCATTATTTATTGTTTGTGGCAACATTATGTTACTTAAATGATTAAATTTATAACTTGCATTAAAGCAATCATACGGTAACTAGTTCATATATATATTTCTTTCTATATATTTATGTTGCTACAATCAAAATCACACGTCAAGAGTGAAGATGGAATGTTTGGAGTTACCATAAAAAACTGCCACTACGCAGCTTTTGTGTGTTATGCTTCATTTTTAGTCGCAGCGTCATGCTCTATCGGGACCATAGACCACGTGGCTGAACGGGCGCATACCTTTGTCTATGCCAAGCTAAGATGGCGCGAGTAAATACAAATGGCGGCGCTGTCAAGAATAAAAGTATAACGCCAATGAGAGTTCAATGTTTATTTTTTAAATAAAAATAGCTGAATGTTGTTGGTTTTTCAGTATATTAATTTAGAAATAAAAATATTTAGGATATTTGGAAATTGTAATATTTCATTATTTCGCCTTATGAAATTATATTACTTAATCTGGCAAACCAATGACATTATATAACGTGTGTTTACAAACATATTAGTATTTTTTTATTTTCCTGCTTCTTTGGAGTCAATGGCAGTCTAAATATTTATATTATATTTGCCATTGAGTCGAAAAATAATACATAAATATAAATTAATTTTACTTATGTATTATTTATTACATAATACATAATATTTTTACTGGTAGTTTTTTTGTAATATTAATATTTCTTTTACTAATATGTTTGACAAAATAACTGTAAGCAAACAATGAATTCAGTTTTAAACAGTCAGATACTGTAACAGCGAATAATTTTATAAATCATTATTTTATCATTTCCATATAAAACAATATGAATTATTTCTTTTTGTTTTGAAGTCCAATGATAATATAATATCATTTGGACTTTGTAAGTGAAATTTACAAGAAACTCAGTTCGCTTCACTATATCTACAGTTATATGCCTAATTATGATAAAGTGAAGCATTATTTTCATTTTTCAACGGTTTAAAATCCAGCCCATATATCAAATTATTATAATGCCATATCAATAACACGAAATACACTGAAAAATATTATGTTCTTCAATATGTGTAATGCACTAAAACATACAGAGTGTTAATGTGACAGACGAATTACTTACCTTATACTTTATACTCTGTTATAGATTAATACATATAAAATATAATTATTTAGAACTTATATTATATTTTGTTACCTTAGTGATTTTTGTAATCATTAGCTAATTACCTTAACGCTCTGTATTTATGCACTTAGGTAGAAAGAATTTTCACTGTACACAATACATAAAATAATACATAGATTACAAAATACATATTACGAAAAATATAAATATATTCATATATTGTATTCTATTTTAAAACACAATATTTAGCATTGCTTTTGTTTTATACTATCGGTATATTAAGATATTAATAGAATAAAAAATTCACAAGTCTTGAGGGTTACCCCTCATGCGTTCCACAGTAACTGGTGTGTATACTGTGTGTACTGTTCTGGTGCATAATCATGTACATATATTGGCAACGGTTGCCACTTTCCACCTGGTGGGCCGTCATGTTCTTTGCCAATACAGTTACACAAAAAAGTATTCAAGCCGTATTAATGACCCGGTGCATGTAGGTCTACAAATAGTAGAATCCATTAAACGATATGAACCCATACTAAACTATTGCTTCGTGTTCCAGGAAATCTTCATCAAGGAATACTTGAAGCATTATCAGTCAAACTTAACGGACGCTAAAGACACAACGCCGTCTATTGACGACGTGAACCAACTGCTATCCGAAGTGGACGCTTTAGCGCTCGCGACTCATCTCTTCTGGACTCTATGGTCTATGGTCAATGCTTCTAAAAGCAATATACCTTTTGGTTATTGGGTAAGTTCTATTAACATCGTCATGTTACTTGTAGCTATAATTATATTTCCTTGTAACTATGGTCATATTTCACTGTCACTCGAGCTAAGAAATATCTAAAATATTTTAGTATATCTTAGAAATAATCTTTATTCAAATGATGATGCTGATTCAAATAATCTTAATGTAAACAGTTCTTAATATATTTATTTTCTATTTTCCAGGAATACTCTCTGTCCAGGTTAGAGACGTACCTCAGACTTAAACAAGAAGTAATAAAGAAGGAAAAATTTAACTTCCCGCAGAAGAGGAAAATCTACGAAGTAGATATATGAGAAAAATATGCAACTCTCAACATATAGGTTATCTATCCTGCACCATTGGGAACGCAAGACAGAGACGAACGACAGCCTCCAAACGGGAATGAGAAATGGCAAATAAATACGCAACGGCGAAATTTTGTAAATATTCTCAGTGAATCACGATGATTTATTTTTAATTTATTTATAATTAATACAAGAAAAATAGTTATAAGTTGTATAAATTGCAAAATATCGTGTATAAATAAATAATAATTAACATTTGTATCAGATGTGTTGAAATAGTTGATCAGGATCTTAGGATTGTTTTTACAAAACCCGGTTTCGCCTATGGATGGTATAAAAATATACCTTTTTCTATTAATATATGTAATTCCGGTAACACGTCATGTTACCTACTTGAAAGAAAAATAACATATTAAATATCTAATTAAACACTATAAACGACACATTCACAAATCTCGGTTTCACATATGGCTTATGGTATAAAAATACACCTTATTATTTTAATGTTAATCGGGAAACACGTCATGTTTGTTACATTAAAAAGAATAACATATTAAATATCTAATTAAACACTCCAAACAACACATTCTTACGAATAATATTTATTGTTTTAATTAAAAAAAATACAGTTATATTCATGTATTTAGCATTTTATAGTATTCAATCCACGTTGTAATTGATAACACACTTGACTCTGTTATCCGAGTACTGCTTCAAATCCTGTCGAATCACTGCTATTAAATCTTTCAACATTATATTATAATTTTATTAGCGTTTGCTGGATAAATGATAAAATTTACTGTGATTACACGGTTTGTTAATAATAAAAATATTTAGATTGTAATATGTGAACGTACGAACGTACAGTAGAGGCCGATGAATATCGACCAAAGCGCCAACGTTCAGTGTAATTGCTACTATGAACGATGATTAGCGAACCGACAATATTATGTACTTAATAAATAGTTTTATTGCAATTGTTATAAGTTCTACAGCCTTTCAGATACAACAAACAATACAATTTGTAATTTTCCTAATACTTTTTTTTTCTATGTAGTCTGATACATAGAATAAAAAATAGTTCTTTTTATTCGACATATTTAGTAAACCATATAGTTAGTGTATAAAATGAAGAAATAAAAAACCTTTTTATATTGATATATTAGTATATATAATTACTTTTATATCACTATTTCAATAAAAAACGCGAGATTGTTAACAAAATATGTCTTATAATAAAAAAATGTAGGTTAGAATTAATATTTATGTATTCTACATAGGAAGGGAAATTACAAATTATGTTTGTATTTTAAACTCCATAAATATTAATTACTAGTACATGTGCAACTGTTGTACGTTTTTTTTTTATTATGTACTTACCACCCTCTGCTCTATGGTCCCCACTTTAGGGGAGAAAAATATTACTTAGCGTGATCACATCCATTCCTAACATGTATGATATGAACGTAAATGTGATTTTAGTGATAAGTTACTTAGTTATACATAGCATTTCCAAATGTATTTGTGATTGAGCATTTGTTATAAAAAATATATATAAAAAAAAGTATATCGCCTGTTCGTGACTATGTTATAGGTTGTAGTTTTTTTTAAAGGTTATAGGTACTAAGCTAACAGCCAAGTAGAGAGTACCTCATGAAAGTGATTAGTTACTTTTATAAGTACGCCCTTTCACGAGAAAAGAAAGCGTATGCTTGTAAAGGTTGATAAAAAGAATGTGAAATCATTCCTGCACGATTTTAGTATACAAGCGTACGTGGTTTCTCGCCTTTTTTAAATTAAATAAATATGATAAATAGATAGTAGATAAAAATCTTTATTCGTATCCCGATAACAAAGAGTACAAACAAAATTCAAATAACACATAAGAATGCACATCTCTGCAAAATGACGGATATCTGCCCCTTTTAGCAAAGACCTAATTACAGATTTGTTGAAATTTATAAATCTTGTAATATTTCCACAGGAGAGAATATAAATAATTATTTTAAAGAAAATAAATAGCACTTTGTGTAAAGTAATTAAAAATTTTTCTCATTTTCTACTTTTGCTTCTTTGGAAAGTTTTCATTTTCATTACTTCAATACTGGGTTTTATTTCGGTATACCCTTTAGTGTATATTTAATAGTAAAACTATCGCATAGAAAATATTTCTAAGAGACATGATATCTGGAATGGCTAACCGTGAGTGATAAAGTGGTAACGTGATGTGTGTAGTACTGTTCATAGGCGACGGTTACCACTTACCATCAGGTGGACCGTCGGTTCGTTTAAATATATATAAATGTATCAATGCTTATAACTTTTGTGTGTATTATACTATGAAATTACAGTGGTCTGTCTATGTAAATACATAGTACATTGTTTGTACTTTTAACTCAAGAAAATCTATAGTTTTTTCAACAATCATTCTTTGTAAATTTGGGTTTTCGAAAATGTAATCTATTACAGTTGTAAGCAGGCGATATAAAAAAAAAGTCTCACATTGTATTGTGAGCGACATTCCATAAACAAAATATAAGTTTTCGGAAACTTTTGTTTTTTTTTTTCGTTACCACCTATATACCAGAGTTCAAATAAAATTGCCATAATTAAAATATTTAAATAATTGTATATCAAATAAAAAAACTATTAGATAAAGATTATTTATTTCAACAACAATAACACAAAACAACATTGAAATGACAAGACAGATTTAATGCCTATTTTAAATTCTTCATGGAAGGTAGAAATCGTATTTACGATTTAGGTAAACTGTTATTTATAATTGTACATGTTATATAAACGGAATAATATTATATATATATAATACTAGCTGATCCGACAAATGGTTTACCATATAATTTGTAGTCACATGGCGATTTTTTTATATAAAAAAAATTAGAGTGGTAGATGAGTGAAAATTCAGGAAAGTATATGGTTTGATGTCACATCACAGAAAAACAAAATATATGTCCAAAAATAAAATAAAAATTGGTTGGTCACATCCCCTATGTGTATAAAAATAGATAGCTATTCTCAGATCTACCGAGTATACAAATATAATTTCTTGAAAAAAAATATAAAACCATCTTATCTAATTATCATGGTAAATATTGCATTTATATAGCTAGCTACCCGCCAATGCTTCGCACGGGTGTACATGTATTATACATACATAAACCTTCCTTTTGAATTACTCTATCTATTGCCAAAACCTGCATTCAAATCCGTTGCATAGTATTAAAGATCTAAGCGAACAGACAACGGAAGCGACATTACTTTATACTATATAAATAAAAAAAATATAGTAATATTTTTTTTAATTTCCGCCTATAATCACAGATAAGGTAGAAACACTATCAACTGTCGACGTCGTTCTGAACACATCACCAGACAGCCCACATTACTCTTAGAATATTTCAATGCAAATCTAACTGACTCTCCGCTGATGGAGAACACCGTCAACAAAGTATCTCGGCCCATTTGCGACTGAAGTAATGAAGATATGTATAGATAAATGGAGATAAAATTTCGTCCGTCCCTTTCACACTATTCCACACCGTTCTTTCATATTAACTACTATCCATACAATAGCTTTTGTAAAACATTATTATTAATAATAAATATGTACACTATAATACACAAGTCAATACATAACAATAATTTACTATAAGCTAAATTACAAATACTGTATTTAATTTTCTACGGACCTAACTTGGAGTTGGGACGAATGTGATTGTAATGTGCACTAATAAACCCATTGCTAGCAATGTACCAAGTCAGGTTGCCTGCAAGCGGTCCCTCCTGAAAACGACAATGGTTAAATCGCGGAGAATTCGCTACTACGAAGGGCTAATTAATCTTACTTCGTTCTCATATTAAGCGAATTCGCTGCGAAGGGTTTAATTCGTGTTCATAATAGGCGAATTCGCTAGGAAGGATTTAACCTAACTTCATTCTCATAATAGGCGAATTCACTACGGAGGGTTAATTCGTCCTCATAATAGGCGAATTTTCTACGTAGGGTATAATTCGTCCTCATAATAGGCGAATTCGCTACGTAGGGATTCATTCGACCTCATAATAGGCGAATTCGCTACGTAGGGTTTAATTCGTCCTCATAATAGGCGAATTCGCTACGTAGGGATTCATTCGACCTCATAATAGGCGAATTCGCTACGTAGGGATTAATTCGACCTCATAATAGGCGAATTCGCTACGTAGGGTTTGATTCGACCTCATAATAAGCGAATTCGCTACGTAGGGTTTAATTCGCCCTTATAATAGGCGAATTCGCTGCGTAGGGTTTAACCTAACTTCGTCCTCATAATCTCTAAATTCAAATGGCAAAATAAGTCACCTCATGACTTACAAAAAGTGACTTAACCTATGCTTGAAGCGACAGACAAAATTTCACAAATTACACATTATAAAAAAATCACACTTATATTAATATTAGTTGGCAAATCGAGAATTTTAAAACAGTATATAATCTTTTAGTAGTAGATATACTAAATATCTGCCTTTACTCATACGCTCTTTTAAAGCGAATAAGGGTTTCCCGCAGGAAATAATGTTCATGTGAATGTAGATAGAGAGAACGAGAAAGATCGCGCGCGCAAACTGTGAGCGCGGTCACGCGTACGACAATAGTGCTAGGTTTAGCGCCATTTTGTAATAATTGATTGTCATTGCAAATGGCGGACTGACTACATAGAAAAGACATATTTGTATAGTTACTAGTTGGGCTCGCGGTTACACCCGCATGAAATTTATAGTCTACGTTATTCTGATGAATAAGCTATATTACTGTAATATTTCATCAAAATACGTGCCGCAACACCGACCACGGCAATGTATCTATCCTGCCTACACTACGCTACCAAGGAACAGGACATTGTTGACTACATCCGGACTAAAAGCAACCTGACATTGAGGGTGACGCAGTTGGAATCGAGCCACAACGCGAGCTTCAAAGCGTTCGTGGCCCTGGTCCCCACCAATATGCTGCCAACCTTCATGAAGGAGGGCTACTGGCCGAAGGGGGTGGTCTATCGGCGCCACCGTGGCAGATTGCCGTCGTCAGTGCCGTGACCATAGAGACAATTTTATTTTACATATTTTATTATTATTTCTTATGTATGTTAGTCTATAAGGTATTTATAATATGGGCCATGTAGCCTGAATTAAATGAATAAATAAATAAAAATCCGGTCAGTAGTTTCTGCGTGAAAGAGTAACAAACATGCATCCATCTATACTTACAAACTTTCGTGTTTATAATATTAATAAGATTGATGATTTATGAGTCCTAAATGTTTGGAAAATAATCTGTTGAATAAAAAATAAAATTTTATAAGAAAAAATGAAATGACATAAAAAAATCGCGTTGGTACTCACGAAAGTGAGTATAAAATTATTTAATTGCATTCTTGCGCACGTCCAATTTAAATGGGGATCGAAATTACAACGGCCTTAGGCGAGCTTCAAACCCCCAGCGGTGCCCTCAGACTAAAGTCGTATCCGTCAGATGGGAATTGCTCTTCAGCCGCTCCATCTCCATAAGTCTTCCCTTTGGTTTGGAGTGCCATCTGCACTCGCCGCCTATTGTCCGGTGAAGCTGTAAAGGCTAGTTGCGGCTAACAGCATTGGAGTAGTCCGAAAAAACGTGTGAAAGAACGTGTGTAAAGGCAGTTAATGTTTAACTTATGTCTAGCCGTGATACATAGTTATTAAACATTGTGCTATAACCCTCATGTACCGCTCCCACACGCTTTTCAGGTCCGCCTCTCTGGAAAAACAAACATTTAGGTATATCAAGTGTTAGCTTAGATGGTCTAACGGTTTAGCACACCACCTCTCTTCCAATGGTCGCGGATTCGATTTCTCGCATAGAACATTTTAATTTGTATCGGTCTGCGTGTTTTCTATGTATAGAAAATAGTAATAATAATCTCAGGACAATTCCCACAGCGCCATCTAGACCCAAGTTAAGCTAGCTAAAGTTTATGTTATGGGTACTAGATAACTGATACAAATACATAGACATTTTTTTTTCGTAACATACATACATAATATACATAGAAAACACCCAGACAGACACAAACAATCATACTCATAAATACAAATGTTTGTGCCGTGCGAGGAATCGAACCCGCGACCATCGGACGTAAAGCGGTGTGTTAGACCGCTAGACCACCGAGGTCGTCATAGATATTTACAAATAATATATTTCTAATAGTTGTCTAGTACCCAGAACACATGCTTAGCTTGGGTATAGATGGCGCTGTGTATTGTACAATAAAATTATTATTAAAAAAGCCTTTTCATACATTGAGAACAATTATACACATGACTACAAATGTTTGTGCTGTGCGAGGAATCGAAACCGCGACCATCAGAAGCTACATTTATTATCTGATTACACTAATAATGAGTGCGTAGCGATTTCTATGTTGATTATCGCATGCCTCTTACTTGTTATACTGTAATTAATTATACAAAAAAAACATCTATAACGACATATAAGAGCAACACACAAGTTTCTTGCTCATTCTTCTTGTGATGAATCTGCATTCCGAATGAGTGGTAGAATCAAAATATGACTATTCAAAAGTGCTTGTAATGAGTTTATTTGAATAAAAATTATTTCTATTTCTACATCATTTTCTTTTGTTCCAATTGAAGATTGTTAAAATAAAAGAAAATATACATGTTGCTTACCTTAGTACGTCCATTTGCAATGCGCACTGCTCGTAAGCGCATAAAAACTGAGCCAAGTCAGTCTTGGGCCAGCCGCCCAATCTCAAAGGTTCAATGCATCTGGAAAATTTAAGTTTATTCACATCACCAATATATAGAAAATTTTCAATAAAAAAAAATTTCACTCTATTCTCCCAAATTTGAATATAACTGTATTTATCATAAACATGTTCCACTATTATTTGAAAAAAAAATACGAGCCGAGTTTCTTGTCAGTTCTTCTCATCTCGATATCATTCCGAACTGACGGTAGATTTGACATATCATAAGAGTCTGTAATAGACCTACATGTATAAAGATATTTTGAATTTTGAATTTGAATTTGAATAACAATTAACCTTGAATTTGTCCTTTCCTAATGTACTCAATACATTGGTAGTAAACCCGTCGCTCTGTTTTTTGCTGGGACTGTTTTTCCCCACCCCATCGAAAATAATTACAAATTGGTACCCCATAGAAGTATGGGGTCTCTGTTTCTAGAACTCCTTTCCCACATATTTAGCTTTGTTTTCTCTTATTGCATTATTCATTATACGATCTTTCAATTTTAATCCCAAGATGCTTCGTTGGCAATCTAACATATAAATCATGATTTGTAATCACATAATTATTGTAAATTAAGTCGTAATATGTTTTTACAGTACTTATTACATTCAATGATTTAATTACAAAAAAAAAATTTTAGTTTCTTTAATTTTTTTTCAAACTTTATAAAGACTGCAGAAAAACAACACCAACCTCTCCAATAAATCGATGAACAACGACCGCAATTCTCGTCCCCGATGCAGGTTGCACGCGAGTCCGACCAGCGCCCGGGTGTACAACCTGACACAGACAGACAAACAGATAGATAAAGTATCTATCTATATGTATTCTGAACATGGATTTTTAGAATTTATTATCTATATATATATATATATATATAACTCAAAGGTGACTGGCGTAGTGATCTATCAACGCACAGCCCAAACCACTGGACGGATCGGGCTGAAATTTGGCATGCAGGTAGATGTTATGACGTAGACATCCACAAAGAAAGGATTTTTATTAATTCTACCCCCAAGGGTATAAAATAGGGATGAAAGTTTATATGAAACTTTGTCAATTTTAAACCAATCGGGCAGAAACTTTGCATGCATAAATCTACTATGCCGTAGGCATCCCCTAAGAAAAGGATTTTGATAAATTCCACCCCTAAGGGGATAAATTAACGCGAGCGAAGTCGCAGGCAAAAGCATATGCATAAAAATATATTAATCAATAAAAAAAAACATTACGCACACTATTATATATTCGATACACACGCATATATACTCTTTTGTTTATAGTAATAGTCTGTTGTCAAATTGAGAATAGATTGTACGGTCCTACACTAAGGACTTTTAAATTAAAGGTGATTATGGACTGTACTTGCGTATGTCGGCATCATTGTACTTGGCAAGTCTCAATTCTTAGGAAATTCCTTTTCATTTCTCGCTGATCGGTTATGGAACAAACCACCAGTACGGATACAGGAAAGTCCATCAATTGGTTGTTTTAAGAAAAAGTTGAAATCGCACTATTTATCGACCTTAGTATGTTTAGTTTCATCGTGTATTTTATTATTTGTATTTTATGTAATATATGTAGATATCTATAGTAATTGTATATGTATGTATATATATATATATATAACTATTATTAATGTTTCTTTTATTTATTATTATATAGTTTATTATAATTAGAACATTATTTAATTTGTTGAATTTTAAATGTTTTATTTTTCTCAACTTTTGGACATTTCAACATAATAGTGTTAATTGCACAGATGTTACCTACTCACTACTAGCTATGCCACACTGTTGGGTTGACTGGTAGAGATCTCTCTTAGAGATAAGTCCACCTTTTCTCACTCTGTATATGTTTAAGTTTACAACTGTATCTAAAAGTGCAATAAAGAATATATATAATAATTTCATCATCATTGCCTTGCCTTTATCCCGTTATTTGTGGTCGGCGCAGTATGTCATTCTCTTCCACTGCTCTCTATCGATCGTCATATCTGAACATACTCTTCTTTTATTCATATCATCTTTCACACAATCCATCCATCTTTTCTTAGGGCGTCCCTTTACATCATTTAGTATAACAATTTAAATATAAAAAATACAGAGAGTGATATAATATTGAGCGCCCGTGTAGTAATGGTGCGGTGCTATTCGCACCCCCTCGAGCCGCGCGTAATATATAAACATTCACGTATATATGTATGTATGTATTTAATTATAGGAGCCAATAGAATATCAGCGCTGTAGAGTTATCTGTAACTTCATGCTGAGTTGGTTGCCTCTTCAGCATCATCATTGCAACACATATAAACACACAAAATACTACTTTATCAGATATTTATAGGCACTTACCTAAAGTTTAATTCCAACTCCTGATATGATTTCTCTAACAATTTCGGCTTTAATCTCATGCATATTAAACTGAAAAGTAAATAAATATTATTTCTTACATATACATGTCGCAGAATCAACAAAGAGGCTCAATTGATTAATTTCTACTAGAATAGCGCCATCTATTATCGTTGTCGGAAACGTCAAGCGGTTTGCTTGGGTGAGGTCGGTACAGGGTAAAGCAGTTTTAACAATTACGAAATGGCACTTTTGAATTGGGCGCGAGCGTGAGAGTTTGTGCAGCACTCTGTACCGAACTTGCCGCGTTTCCCTGAATAATCCGTTTTCATCCGGCTGATTGTTGGTGATTTCATTATTTTGTTATCGGGAGTGAGTGAACAGACGATTATATTTTGAATTAAGACTATTATTTCTGGCCTACACCATGCCCAACATGGGTTCTGATGACGAGGTATCCCAAATAAAGGAACTACCCTCGTTAATATAATAATATATACCTAAAGCATTTTTCTATCTTGAACGGGTAGGTTTTTGTACGTCAGATGGCAATCGGTACAGGACTAATATCCAAAAAAAATGGCAAATCTTTGGAAAGAAAATGAAAAGACCATCTGACTACGCTGGCAATCTGGCGCTACAGCTTTCCATCTCTGGTAAAAGAGACAGACCGAGGAAGGGGTGTGAAGATTAATTGCTGGAGACATGGAAGAGAGAGAGAGAGAGAGAGAGAGAGAGAGAGGGGGGGGGGAGAGACTCTACTAAAATAATAGCGCCATCTATTATCGTTGTCGGAAACGTCAAGCGGTTTGCTTGGGTGAGGTCGGTACAGGGTAAAGCAGTTTTAACAATTACGAAATGGCACTTTTGAATTGGGCGCGAGCGTGAGAGTTTGTGCTGCACTCTGTACCGAACTTGCCGCGTTTCCCTGAATAATCCGTTGTCATCTGGCTGATTGTTGGTGATTTTAATATTTTGTTATCGGGAGTGAGTGAACAGACGATTATATTTTGAATTAAGACTATTATTTCTGGCCTACACCATGCCCAACATGGGTTTTGATGACGAGGTATCCCAAATAAAGGAACTACCCTCGTTAATATAATAATATATACCTAAAACATTTTTCTATCTTGAACGGGTAGGTTTTTGTACGTCAGATAGCAATCGGTACAGAACTAATATCCAAAAAAATGCCAAATCTTTGGAAAAAAATGAAAAGACCATCTGACTACGTTGGCAATTTGGCGCTACAGCTTTCCATCTCTGGTAAAAGAGACAGACCGAGGAAGGGGTGTGAAGATAAATTGCTGGAGACATGGAAGAGAGAGAGAGAGAGAGAGAGAGAGAGAGAGGGGGGGGGGAGAGACTCTACTAAAATAATAGCGCCATATATTATCGTTGTCGGAAACGTCAAGTGGTTTGCTTGGGTGAGGTCGGTACTGGGTAAAGCAGTTTTAACAATTACGAAACGGCACTTTTGAATTGGGCGCGAGCGTGAGAGTTTGTGCTGCACTCTGTACCGAACTTGCCGCGTTTCCCTGAATAATCCGTTGTCATCTGGCTGATTGTTGGTGATTTTATTATTTTGTTATCGGGATAGTGAACAGACGATTATATTTTGAATTAAGACTATTATTTCTGGCCTACACCATGCCCAACATGGGTTCTGATGACGGGGTATCCCAAATAAAGGAACTACCCTCGTTAATATAATAATATATACCTAAAGCATTTTTCTGTCTTGAACGGGTAGGTTTTTGTACGTCAGATAGCAATCGGTACAGAACTAATATCCAAAAAAATGCCAAATCTTTGGAAAAAAATGAAAAGACCATCTGACTACGTTGGCAATTTGGCGCTACAGCTTTCCATCTCTGGTAAAAGAGACAGACCGAGGAAGGGGTGTGAAGATAAATTGCTGGAGACATGGAAGAGAGAGAGAGAGAGAGAGAGAGAGAGAGAGAGAGGGAGAGACTCTACTAAAATAATAGCGCCATATATTATCGTTGTCGGAAACGTCAAGTGGTTTGCTTGGGTGAGGTCGGTACTGGGTAAAGCAGTTTTAACAATTACGAAACGGCACTTTTGAATTGGGCGCGAGCGTGAGAGTTTGTGCTGCACTCTGTACCGAACTTGCCGCGTTTCCCTGAATAATCCGTTGTCATCTGGCTGATTGTTGGTGATTTTATTATTTTGTTATCGGGAGTGAGTGAACAGACGATTATATTTTGAATTAAGACTATTATTTCTGGCCTACACCATGCCCAACATGGGTTCTGATGACGGGGTATCCCAAATAAAGGAACTACCCTCGTTAATATAATAATATATACCTAAAGCATTTTTCTGTCTTGAACGGGTAGGTTTTTGTACGTCAGATGGCAATCGGTACAGAACTAATATCCAAAAAAATGCCAAATCTTTGGAAAAAAAATGAAAAGACCATCTGACTACGTTGGCAATTTGGCGCTACAGCTTTCCATCTCTGGTAAAAGAGACAGACCGAGGAAGGGGTGTGAAGATTAATCGCTGGAGACATGGAAGAGAGAGAGAGAGAGAGAGAGAGGGGGGGGGGGGGAGAGACTCTACTAAAATAATAGCGCCATCTATTATCGTTGTCGGAAACGTCAAGTGGTTTGCTTGGGTGAGGTCGGTACTGGGTAAAGCAGTTTTAACAATTACGAAACGGCACTTTTGAATTGGGCGCGAGCGTGAGAGTTTGTGCTGCACTCTGTACCGAATTTGCCGCGTTTCCCTGAATAATCCGTTGTCATCTGGCTGATTGTTGGTGATTTTAATATTTTGTTATCGGGAGTGAGTGAACAGACGATTATATTTTGAATTAAGACTATTATTTCTGGCCTACACCATGCCCAACATGGGTTCTGATGACGAGGTATCCCAAATAAAGGAACTACCCTCGTTAATATAATAATATATACCTAAAGCATTTTTCTATCTTGAACGGGTAGGTTTTTGTACGTCAGATGGCAATCGGTACAGGACTAATATCCAAAAAAATGGCAAATCTTTGGAAAGACAATGAAAAGACCACCTGACAACCCTGGGAATCTGGCGCTACAGCTTTCCATCTCTTGTAAAAGAGACAGAGGCAGACCGAGGAAGGGGTGAGAAGATTAATTGCTGGAGACATGGTGGAGTGCGAGGTTCCTGAAGACGATGTGTGGGACACGGAAAAGTCGCGGAGAAAACAAGGAAAGCTGACCCCATTACCATGTGGCATATATAGCTAGCAAGAGAGAGAGATAGGGAGAGGGAGAGGGAGAGAGACTCAACCCATACTAAAACTATTAATGCGAAATTTACTAACTTCACACATTTTAACTTAAAAATGTAAAATTACAATCATTGTTTAAAAGAGCAACACGTAAGTAAGTTTGCTCTTTCTGAATGAACGGTAGATTAAACAAACTATGGCTATTCAGAAGTGTTTAAATTTAGGTTTATTTGAATGTAGGATTTTCTATTCTATTCTATTCTGTAAATATAAGTGTGCACTTACTGTTTATGCTCCTTCTCCTTGTCGAGGAGTATCCTCAGGTCGCGTAGTTCTAGAAGGAACTCGCGGTCCATCTCCGTGTCGTAGTACTCGGGCCCGGTGCAGCTGTACGTCCAACTCACCATTATTGCCTGCAATTAAACATATTACAAACATTACCAAAAAAATCCTTTTTTTTATGTTTATTTTTTATAATATTTTTTTTGGCCTGAGCCACCCTTAACATTTAGGGGTATAAAAAGTAGTTATAAACCTATTCTCAGATCTACTGAATATACTATATATAAAATTTAATCAAAATCGGTCAAGCCGGATCAGTCGGATCGGAAGATCTGTTTTGGAGGAGTATAAACACGAAATCTCTGACATGAGATTTATATATAATAGAAGATATAATCTGGAATGGGTAGCAATTATGGACGGAAGATAACAAGCCGCTGGATACAGCGAGTAGGGTATATAACCCAGCGGATGTTCAGCTTCAACCAAACGGGGACCGATATTACAATGGCTGGTTTAGGTTCGACCCCTAGCAGTGCCGTCAGAGTAAAGTCGTATCCGTCAGGCGGGAGTTGGCCTTCAGGCGTTCTATAAACCCTGCTTTGGAGTGTCATCTGCACTCGGCACCTATGGTCTGGTGAAACAAGCATATGGCAAAACTAGGCCTATGCACGACAAGTATCTGCAGATTCTGCCAAACTGAAGAGGAAACGCCGCTTCACATCCTATGTGGTTGTAGCCCACTCATGCATAAACGAAATATCTCCTTTGTAAAGTTTACACTTATTCCCGAGGAGATAAAAACCATCGCTCCTAAGAATATCCTTCAATTCTTGTCCCTGACGGGTCTAGGTAGCGAACTTTGAAAAAGGGCGAGCACAATAGATCTATGTAGGTTGCAGTGCTACAGGTGCTACAAACATCTGGCAATAGACCACACAACCCAATCAAAAAAAAAATGGTCTGGTGAAGCTGTAAAGGCCAGCTGCGGCCAACAACAGCAGTCCGAAAAAAAAGGCTCCAATTAGCAGCTCGTTGAAACAATAGCTTATACGGTGAAGAAAATAGCTACTGCTATCTATCTACAAACCTTTGTTAGTGTATACACTACTGTTAAATGAAGCTGTAAAGGCCAGCTGCGGCCAACAACAGTAGTACGAAAAAAAGGCTCCAATTAGCAGCTCATTGAAACAACAGCTTATACGGTGAAGAAAATAGCTACTGCTATCTATCTACAAACCTTTGTTAGTGTATACACTACTGTTAAATGAAGCTGTAAAGGCCAGCTGCGGCCAACAACAGTAGTCCGAAAAAAAGGCTCCAATTAGCAGCTCGTTGAAACAACAGCTTATACGGTGAAGAAAATAGCTACTGCTATCTATCTACAAACCTTTGTTAGTGTATACACTACTGTTAAATGAAGCTGTAAAGGCCAGCTGCGGCCAACAATAGTAGTCCGAAAAAAGGCTCCAATTAGCAGCTCATTGAAACAACAGCTTATACGGTGATGAAAATAGCTACTGCTATCTACCTACAAACCTTTGTTAGTGTATACACTACTGTTAAATGAAGCTGTAAACGCCAGCTGCGGCCAACAGCAGTCCGAAGAGTAGTCCGAATAAAAAAAACCGGTACTTGCTCACCTGTGCACAATGATAGAAATCGTTGAACGACAAATACTGCAGCTTCCGCTTGGCCGTCTCGAATCTCATGCAAGCTATGAACACGACTGCTCCATATTTTCTGTAACACACCAATATATTTATTAATATTAAATTAATTTTTTTTTTTTATTTTATTTATTTAGGTCACCAACAAGGTTTACATCAACACTGTTACATTATATATATTACATTACAATCTGTTTATACTAAGCGGAACCTTAATTATAGGCAACTACGACATTTATGTGACAAATTTGTGCTTACAATTAACAATTAACAAAACATAAATCATGTAGGTCTATTACAGACTCTTATGATATGTCAACTCTACCGTTAGTTTGGAATGATTTCGAGATGAGAAGAACTCTTTATCCATGTATGTTTATTACAGACTCTTATGATATGTCAAATCTACCGTCAGTACGGTAATGATTTCGAGCTGAGAAGAACTGACATGAAACTCAGCTCGTATTCTTTTCAAATATGTTGTACATGTTTACAATAATACAGATTCATATAAATTCTAATTTGGGAAAATAAAGAGACCACCAGTATATGCTATTGAAAAAGCAAAAAGTTTAATCAGTAACCCGAACACACCAGGCCCCACAAGCAGCACCTGTTCACGAGTATGACGGATGCGTCATGGATAATGCGTATGAATAAAGATAATATATTAAGGAAGGTGTTACATATGAATGTGGATGGTTATAAGGGCTGAGAAAGGCCGAAAAAGAGATGGATGGACTGTGTGAAAGATGATATGGTAAGAAAGGAAGTAAATAACGAGATGACTGTGAACAGGGATGAATGGAAGCGAAAAACATATTACGACGACCACAAATAAATGGATATGGCTTAAGGAAATGGTGATGACTAATATAATATTCTTAAAAAAACTCGACTCAACAACTAAACAAACAGGGACCAACCTGAAAGTATATTCTTTCAAATAATACTTCCTTACTGTAATAATAGAGTAAGCCAAGTAGAGCAGAACGTGTATATGTACGGGAAAATTACATATTTGTTCATATTATATATATAAAAAAATAGATAAAAGAATTTTACAAATTTGAATATAATAAATATATATAAATAAATAACCCTAGACAATTAACACAGCGCCATTCAGTTCCATGGTAAGTAGAGCTTGTGTTATGGGTACTAGACAACTGATATAAATACTTACATTTTAAAACAAACATAGAAAACACCCGGACCAATACAAACAATCATACTCATGAATACAAATGTTTGCATCGTGCGAGGAATCGAACCCTGACCATCGGAAGTGAAAAGGTGTGCTAAATTGCTAGACCACCGAGGTGGTTAAAAGATTCTAACTGTGATAAGATTTCTATCTATCTATGTCATATATATAACTTCTTGTTACGTGCTATATTTTTAAAACTTAAAAAAATTCTCGTCATCCCCCCGGTCAGTTAAGGAAAGGAGATGGCAACTTACCCCCGGCAGAAGCACAGTCGGCCGGGGTTCAGGGCCACACCGACCACGGCAATGTACCTATCCCGCCTACACTACGCTACCAAGGAACAGGACATTGTTGACTACATCCGGACTAAAAGCAACCTGACATTGAGGGTGACGCAGTTGGAATAGAGCCACAACGCGAGCTTCAAAGCGTTCGTGGCCCTGGTCCCCACCAATATGCTGCCCACCTTCATGAAGGAGGACTACTGGCCGAAGGGGGTGGTCTATCGGCGCTACCGTGGCAGATTGCCGTCGTCAGTGCCGTGACCATAGAGACAATTTTATTTTACATATTTTATTATCATTTCTTATGTATGTTAGTCTATAAGGTATTTATAATATGGGCCATGTAGCCTGCACCTGACGGTTTACTCACTTGGCGAGTGGTTCTGATAGGAGGAACGTGCTGCGTATATTGGAGACCACGTTTCCAGGCATCTCTTCCACTGTTTTGAACACGCGGCGCACGTTATCGAACTGACGGCGACAGCAGCGGAGCGGCGCTCCAGAACGTTCCGCCACCTGCAATCGACTTTTTTTATATATATATCCTACCTGACCCGCGTCTCGTCTGCATCACACTTACATGACTTAATATCTTTTAAAATTATATCCTATGTGTTATAGCATAATCTCTACCGATCGATCTAACGGTAGAGAATGCGTGCACGCCTATAGCATAATCTACCGTTAGATCGATCGATCTAACGGTAGAGAATGCGTGCACGCCTATAGCATAATCTACCGTTAAATTGATCGATGTAACGGTAGAGAATGCGTGCACGCCTATAGCATAATCTACCGTTAGATCGATCAATCTAACGGTAGAGAATGCGTGTACGCCTATATCATAATCTACCGTTAAATAGATCGATCTAACGGTAGAGAATGCGTGCACGCCTATATCATAATCTACCGTTAAATCGATCGATGTAACGGTAGAGAATGCGTGCACGCCTATAGCATAATCTACCGTTAGATCGATCAATCTAACAGTAGAGAATGCGTGCACGCCTATAGCATAATCTACCGTTAAATCGATCGATGTAACGGTAGAGAATGCGTGCACGCCTATAGCATAATCTACCGTTAGATCGATCAATCTAACGGTAGAGAATGCGTGTACGCCTATATCATAATCTACCGTTAAATAGATCGATCTAACGGTAGAGAATGCGTGCACGCCTATATCATAATCTACCGTTAAATCGATCGATGTAACGGTAGAGAATGCGTGCACGCCTATAGCATAATCTACCGTTAGATCGATCAATCTAACAGTAGAGAATGCGTGCACGCCTATAGCATAATCTACCGTTAAATCGATCGATGTAACGGTAGAGAATGCGTGCACGCCTATAGCATAATCTACCGTTAGATCGATCAATCTAACGGTAGAGAATGCGTGCACGCCTATATCATAATCTACCGTTAAATAGATCGATCTAACGGTAGAGAATGCGTGCACGCCTATATCATAATCTACCGTTAAATCGATCGATGTAACGGTAGAGAATGCGTGCACGCCTATAGCATAATCTACCGTTAGATCGATCAATCTAACAGTAGAGAATGCGTGCACGCCTATAGCATAATCTACCGTTAAATCGATCGATGTAACGGTAGAGAATGCGTGCACGCCTATAGCATAATCTACCGTTAGATCGATCAATCTAACAGTAGAGAATGCGTGCACGCCTATAGCATAATCTACCGTTAAATCGATCGATGTAACGGTAGAGAATGCGTGCACGCCGTTTTATTTCTAACTAGCTCCTCGCCCCGGCTTCGCACGGGTGTACATATATTATATATACATATAAACCTTCCTCATGAATAATTCTATCTATTAAAAAAAATCGTTTCAAAATCCGTCAATTCATACGCGTAGTGTAACAATAAGTTGTAGTGAGAATTAAGATTGTGCCACTGACCTCGTCTAAATCCTTCCGATGTCTGGACGACAGCTTCCGCCCGAGTAACTCTCTAATCACCGCATCATCTAAGTCATAGTATCTGCCATTAAAAAAAATACAAGACTTGAGTCAATTCACATTACTCAAAATCAAATTCTCGTGTCACAATTGTTAGAATTCACATCATTATTGTAGAAAGAATCCGATATTTGAAAAATATATTAAACGAAGGTAGTTTGTTTTTAGTACTAATGAAGTACCCAATGTAAGGATTACGAATACGAATATTGTAAATAGCGCCATCTAGTATTTATAGACCAACCTACTACACTGACTTTGGTAGACCAAAGTCAGTGTAGTATTTATAGTATTTATAGATAAATACGGAGGTCGGTAGTTGAATAATCCTCTTTCGTTGCGTGAACCGCGGCATTCAGTCGACGAGCGCAGAGCGTGCCGGTTGTGTTTTGGATACTAAAGTGAATTGTATTAACAATGGGTTTATCCCGGTCTTAGTTGGGCCTGGGGGGAAACTTCAAGTAGTTTCATGGCCATAAATGATGGTTAACTCTTTTTTTTTTTGTAAAATTTTTTTTACAATGTGGCATTATAAAATACATTTAACTCTAAATTTTCACCCATGTATCACCAACCCTTATTTATTAATTGCCATATTAGTACTTCAATTTATATAGTAAAACAATGTTTGCCGGTCTACTACCGAATTTATAAAAAGGAAATTGTATAGTAAGCATATCCTGAACATATGTCATCTTCGAAACTCATACTTACTAATCTATACATATAAATAAAATTGGAGTGTCTGTTTGTAATATTGAAATAACCGCTTTTTACTACATGCACATGAATATAAATACGGTACATAAACCAAAATAACATTTTTAACCATTTTTGTCTGTCTGTCTGTCTGTCTCTTTGTTCCGGCTAATCTCTGAAATGGCTGGACCGATTTTGACGAGACTTTTTTTGGCAGCTGATGTAATAAGAAATAACTTAGGCTCCTTTTATTTTAGAAAAATAAAGTTAAATTCCACACGGACGAAGTCGCAGGAACGGATAGTCTATACTAATATTATAAAGCTGAAGAGTTTGTTTGTTATTTTGCACGCGCTAGTCTCAGGAACTACTGGCTCGAATTGAAAAATTAGGTTTGTTGGATAGTCCATTTGTTGAGGAAGGCTTTAAGCTATATATATCTGACAGATGTCAAAGGTCAAAAAACTGACATCGAGCTGTACGTGTTGTCACTAATGGCAGGCACAGAATACCAGCGCCGTGACAGTTAGCTGTCACGGCATATGCTGAGTGTCAGCCATGTTGCCAACCATATTTAGAAATAATATAAGATAAATTATTATTGTAATTGTTCTAAGTGTGTATGTATGTATGTATATATGTATATGTAAAAATGATTGACAATAAATGTTTTTCTTTTCTTTTCTTCTTTTTTCTTTTATATAACATTATGCTAGGACCAATAGAAGCGAATCATCAGTGAAAAATGTTGCAATAAATGAGGATAATTATTCACATTTGAGGACTTCTGTTGCATGCGCTGTGCAAAGTTGCAGGCACAGCTAGTAATCAGTATATGCCAGTCTAATAAAAAAAAAACTATAGAAGCCATGATCCTCTAGTCTTCTGGAAAGATGATATAAGTGGCATCAGGTGTATATAAAATAAAACTTACTTCTCAATCAGCATGTGTTTAGTGGCCTCGTCAATTTGGAAGATCATCTGTTCAGACAGCTTTGAAGGCACTGTGAGTAGCCTCTCCAGGAGAGCAAACGTTCTAGAACATTTTGGAAGTAGTATTTAGAATTGTATCGTATAAGATATAAACCACAAAGGCTGTGTCTTGCAGTTCGGCACTCTGCCTTACTTCTGATGGTTGCAGTTCAATTACTTGCAGGGTAAAAACATTGTATTTGTTAGTGTGTTTGTTTATATTGATCAGGCTGTTTTTTATATATATTGTGTATGTATTTACTATTTATACATATATATTTTAAGTATTTCTATTAGTTGTCTAGTATCCATAAACCAAACTCGGCTTATTTATTGATGACTAGATAGTGTTGTGTGATTTGTAGTGGGTTATTATTATTAAAATATTACTAATAGTAATTAGTTTTGGTTAGCTAGTAAGCTGACCAAATTCTGCATCACACATTCTCTTCACATTTATCATTATATTTCATCCAATTTACATATTATTATATTTATATATATATTATATATATTTTTTTCAATTATAGCCTCTATATTATTCGGTTATATAAGTTATATTACTGTAAAGTTTTATCAAAATCTGTTCAGTAGATTTTACATGCCAAGAAGCCAATATGATACAGAGTCATCAGATTAGACAACTGTATAAAAAACAAATTGCCAATTAGCAGTATACTAAAAGAAAAGTAACATTTTATGTGAAACATCCATGGATGGATGTTTGTTACACTAAACCTTTCTCTTCTATTATATTGTGTTTATGATATTAGTAAGATAATTACATCTTACCTGTAATGATCAAGTACATCGCTAGCAATCAGTTCTACAGATGCACCGGTTTGTTTGACAATCGCTCGTTGATGCAATGTGGACACTGCCTCACTGGCTGCAACATAAACAAAATCAGTTAAATTAGGAAGTAATGTATATCCAAGAGGAAAACCAAGAGATTCCTGGCAAACCTCCATAATTACTGTTAGTGTATAATAAAGAAAAGGTAAAAGCATACTATTATGGTATTGTTAGTGATAAAATAATATGTTATACATAAGAGGTCAAAACATAGTACATATATGTATAAATGTTTTTTAGGCAATTAACTTTTTTTTTAATATTTATAAACAAATATATAATACTTATATTAAAAAAATAACAAATACATAATAGTGCCAGTAAAATTCATTGTAGGTCCATTAATTAAAAAAAATGTTTTTTAAATACTTGCAAAGGCAAAGGAAACTAGTTTATTTAGCGAGGGAAATGCCGTCGAAAACTGTCGGGAATGTTATAAACGTGAAAATGAATTTGTTTTTATATCTTAAGAGGCCTTTCACATTTTTTGGCCTAAAAGCAGTGTCTTTGGGGTTCTGGTTCTAAGAAATTAAGAGTCGGATATACATTTTGATTCCTGAATTATATAGATAGATATCTAATCTTAAAAACAACATCTTTGAAATGTTAATTTTCTCTTTGTTAGTCTTCCTAATTTCTAAAATAGTTTATTCAAAAACGCTAAATGACAGAAGTTTGGGGTCGTCGTTCATTAATAAACAAACATAAATTGATATGATATCTTTACTAAAACTTGATAATTACTTTATAAATTGAGACAGCATCGTCCTTTTTTTCATTTTCAACTTAAATATCTAAAAAATTGATCATAATTAAACCCGAAATTTCAACAAAACTTTGCCATAATCATTTCTAATTTTCTCATAAATACAACAAAATTTTTGCATAAAAAAAACATAATAATAAAGTTAATATACTTATAAATTAGAAATATGAAAAAAAAATATAAGTTTCTAAGAAAAAAATAAACAATAATAATAATTGAAAGTTGTATAAATTCCGTTGCGCCAAAAGTAAATTCTCATAACTGCGCTAGCGCTCGTCGAGGTAGTACCTATGCCATTTTTTACAACACCGCTAAGATAAGACATTCGTCAGTGAACATTAGTATAGAGCGACTAAACCATTTTGATAATTTAAGTAATATTTAATTAATTTTGCTAATATATACTTATTTCTACGAATATTAATTTAAAGTTGTTGTTAAATATATATATATATAATATTTATTTTAGCATGCCAAGACAAAAGTACAGTTATGCTACAAATAAAACCTACCTACCCTGCTGGACTATGAAAAGCACAAGAGCATGGTATTTCGTCACACTAATGGCAATTAATTGTTAAAATTAAAAAAGAGAACATTTTAGTATTTTTAAAAATAACGCTTATCTGAGAGAAAAATGTAAGAAAATGTAAACCAATTTTACTCTATGTTTATTTTGTAGTTTTTTTTCTAAATTAAAATAGGGTTATTGTTTATAAAAATACCATTATTATTTTTACGTACATTTGTCTTGTGTTATATAGTGTATATCATCTAGTATGCAATGTGGATTGTAAATAAATTACCAAATTATATATAAATTATATTCCTTAATGTTTAGAGATATTTTATCCAATTTTATTTTATTTTACACAATACAGATATTTCTAAATTGCAGCTATTCTGTTATTATACTCGTTGGACTTTCATTACTGTACAGTTATGTCAAATAATTATGCGTGTTTGGGTGAAAAGTCAACAACATTATAAATGTTTTTATTTAGAGACTAGCTTTTAGCTCGCGGCTTCGCCCGCGTGAATATGGGATATATAGGTTATCGCGCGTTTAAAGATCCGTGTACAGTATTGGGACGTTATATATAAACCTTCCTCTTGAGTCTATCTATTCTGTCTATTAAATAACAACGAATCAAAATCTGCGTAGTTTTTTAAGATCAAAACATACATAGATCTATTACATGTGTAGATGATATTTTAACCGGAAATAAGCCGTTAAAATGGTATTGGCAGATCAGTTGGAATCATCGGTATTCTTGGTATATAAGCTGGTTGCCCAGCTAACGTACCGGTTATAATGGTCTACAATTAAATTGTCTTTCAATTCTTTAGTAAGCAATATATCCAATGGGACGCCATTGCACATGTTCGGCGGGCTTAAATTTCATGACTGGATCATGCTTTTGAGAAATTCCTTCCTCAAGTTTGAGCATTTAGTGTGGGAAATCACTATCTGTGCTTCCATAAAAATGAGCTCTCAAATTTGTCAGTAGTTTTAAACTTTCAATTAAAGTCCATAAGGGAGACGATGTTAATGACACAGAGAGTCTTTCAGAAATCTCCAGCAAAAGTATAAAAGTAATCCCGCCAATGAGAGCAGAGGTGTTTCTAAGGTTTTTAAGGTTCTGTCCAAAATCTCTATAGCTCATGGTGATTTCATTACATATAATCAATGAGGCGTCTTATAATAATTTATAAAAAGGTTTGACATTAACAATTAATTATTTATCAAGAATCAAGAATCGGCCAACCAAGAACGAGAAGCTGCAATATCAGCCAATATCATGCGGCGACGTCAATGATGCAGGAACAGCAATGATAGCAGTTGAATCTTTTTTTTTACAACTTAGAATGGCAAACAAGCTGACGGCTCTCCTGATGGAAAGGGGTAACCGTCGCCTATATACATGAGCAGTACCTGCCATGTTCATATCAGCACATTGTTTCCCTCATGCGTTATGTGGTGTTATTCCCCTGTACCTTGTAAATTCACTACCATATATATACACAGGTAGTCTATATAGATAGATATACATATACACAGATAGTATACCCTGAGAAAGGTCATAGACTACTTTATAGTGTATTGTAAGGGATTAAAAGCGGAGATGAAAGGTTGTATAAAAGTATCGTCATTGTTTAAGTGAAACAAAGAAACTTTTTTGGGTTATAATCTAAATATATTTCCTTTATTTGGTCAATTTCATTATACCACGCTGACGAAGTCGAGGACACACCATATAAGGATGGGACCTTTAAATCAAAACAAAGCCTTGAAAACACAACTATGATATATAAATAAAATAATTATTTGCTAAGTATAATATTTAGAACAAGTGAATATGGCAATAATGTATCCGACTCTTATAATAAATTATATTGTATCTATTAATAAATAAACTGAATTAATACGTAAGAAGAATTAATTAGTAAATTTATGTTATAGTAATTTCGTCTTCCTGTCCCAATTATTTGTTACTCATATTACTTAAGGTTTTGGCTTTTAGTTGTACAATCGGCCAGCATCCTGACATCAACCCTCTAGGAATAATATAATAAAAAAATATGGTCATTATTAGCACTTTGATAATTAAGACAAATCACGTTATTTAAAAAAATACAATAAGTAGTTTATGTTACTTAGTTAAGTACAAACATATCACATTATTAATTAAAATATTACAAGGATCAAAATGGTTCATACTAAATCCACACCGATTGAGCTACACGGTTATTTGCGTCTGTGTGCGTGTATTACTGTATGTGTGCGTAAATCCATGCGATTAAACCTAAAGTTGAGCGGCATCATTTTGTAATAGGCCTCTTAACGACTTAACAGCTCTATTCAGATTTAGCATATCTAAGCTGGAGATGATAATACTGATTACTACGTAAAAAGTGTAGCAGTTCGAAACAGTAAGGGTACAAATTTATGTGATCGGTCGAATAAGATTAAGATTAAATAATATTATTCAGAAACTTACAAGAACAGCCTTCTATCCATAACTGGTATATTTCAGGATCTATTAGTGTGTAATTACTGACGAAAACATCCACTTCTGTGTACATTCTTAAGACTTTTAATAAGCGTTGTTTCTTATAATTCTATATCACTGAAAACGCTGAATACGTAACAAAAATAATCTATTAATGACACAACTATAATTAATAATACAAAATACAGAGAGAATGTTTATATTTTTAGATATACGAAAGTATTCTATCTTAAGATCTGTGATAATTTTTGATATTGTGATTTATTGTGTGTGTCATATTTGTTTACCAGTAACGTCAACCACAAAAGTTGTCAAAGCCTAAAGAAATAACATCAACGAAACATTTTTATTTTTGCTATTTAAGGCGTTTTCTCTCATCTTTAACTTGAACAAGGAAACAGTATATTTAGGTAATATAGGAGTTTATATTTTATATTCTATCTCGAAATAATTAAAACATTAAGCAGCATAGTTATGGACATTGGCCTCGACCCTGTGATACAAACAAAAAAAAATTAAATTGACGTGTGCGGTGTCGTTCTAAACTTATAATTTATTTTTATGTAAAAATATTATTTACATTACGTAAAGAATAATTATTTGTGCAAATATTTCATTTTTTTCTCTTTATTAAATAATTATGTTAAAAAATAATTAATAGGTCAATACAGTTTATAAAATGATCAATATTTGTCGTGCGTTTATTGTTTTTCTCTGTTCATTGATGGAAATTTGATTTGATTACATATTTTAAACGTATTTTTACCATTGATTTTTTTTGGTTCATAAAAATTAATAATTCTAAAGAAATAGTGTTTTGTTAAAAAGTAATTTGTAAATAATTATGTAAGTACGTTTTTTAAAATGTATCAACAGTAACAAGTGTCATAAATAAATGTCATATAAATACGAATAAAATAATATTAGATGTTTGTTTAAGATGTTTTTAGTGCCAAAAATAGAATTTTAATGTTTTAATGTGCGTGTATCTATATTTCGCTGTTGTATCAGTTTGTTAATATTGTATGTATTATCGGTAGAGCACTGTCAATACGAAATGAATAGTTATAAATTTATCTTGAAATGATACCATAATATGTATTGTGTATGTTTACCGGAAGCTACTAAATCTTTAGAAACATACTGAAGTCACTTAAAGATAATAAATTTCAATACATTTTGAGGGTTCTAAGCTTGACATATACGTTCAAAGAAATATTAAAAAAAAACAAAAAATTATGATATTTATTTACTTACAATTTAAAACAGTTTAATGAAGTAGAGTCGTGTACTATATATATAAAACTTACTTAGTTATGAACACCCAAGTGAAGCCAAAGAACATCACTAGTCGTAAAAATAAGTATTATTATGAATGGATTTTTGTTATTATTTACTGTATGATGGATAATTTTTAAATATATATTATTATTGAATAACATAGGGCTATATTCAACATCAAAGGCCTGAATTTATTTCACTATTAAGTTCTTAATAGTTTAATGGATTTAGACCTTTGATGTTGAATATAGCCCTATATTATTTAATAACTAGCTGTTTCCGCAACTTTGTGTGCGTGGAATTTATTTTATTTTTCTTAAATAAATGTAGCCTAAGTTACTCCTTATTACATCAGCTACCTATCAAAAAAGTCCTGTCAAAATCGGTCCAGCCATTTCAGAGATTAGCTGGAACAAACAGACAGACAGACTATTTGTATATATAATTGGTGTATATAAAAACAATTATTTCAATATTACAAACAGACACTCCAATTTTATTTATATGTATAGATGTATAGATAATATAGGTATTAATACTATCATTCTTCTATAAGATTATATAAGTTCTTAATAGTTTATAATAATAAAAAAATAATTTATTTTGCAGACAACATGTCGGACAATGATGATTCTGTACAAGAAACCACATCATCAGATTCAGAAAACATTAAACAGGAACCAGCAAAGTTGAAGAAAGAATCTGATCGCATACAGCCAGACTCCCAGGATATTATGAACATGTTTGCTAGTGTCTGGGTGAAGGTTGAGGTTGACGAGGAGCCCAGCAATGGAGTAAATTCTGAGGAAGTGTAAGTTTTTGTTCTGAATTAATATAGAATGATACGCTCAGCATATGCCTGTTAGTGGGGCATCAGTGAAGGATAGTAAGATGAGTATACAGTCAGATAAGTTAAATCATCATGGTGAATTAACCAGGTATTAATAATCTATACATATAAATAAAATTGGTGTCTGTTTGTAATACTGAAATAACAATTTTTTTACTACGTGCATATGAATATAAATACGGTACATACACCAAAATAACATTTTTTATAATTTTTATGTCTGTCTGTTTGCTCGGCTAATCTCTGAAATGACTGGACATTTATTGGCAGGTAGCTGATGTAATAAGGAGTAACTTAGGCTACTTTTATTTTAGAAAAATAAAGTTAAATTCCACACAGACGAAGTCGCGGGAACGGATAGTAATAAATAACTGTTGACCATATACACAGAGTAAACAGAGATTATGTTATGAGTATATGAACTACTGAATAAATAGAGATATTTTTTTTTCCTGAAATTCATTGAAGACACCCAGGCCAATACAAAGAATACAAATAATAATATACATAGAAAACACCCAGACCGATACAAACAATCATACTCATGAATACAAATGTTTGTGCCGTGCGAGGAATCGAACCTGCGACCGTCGGACGTAAAGCGATGTGCTAGACCGCTAGACCACCGAGGTCGTCGAAATAAATCAATCATATTTATCAGAGCAGATCAGTCCCTACTAGCAAAACTGTAAGACAGTCTAAATACCACTTAAAAATTCTATTTCTTCATGGAATAAAACCTCAAGTAATTTTTTGTATGTTTGCAGAAATTCACTAGAGGAAGGCACCACGAGAAGGATCACAAGGCAACGTCGCTTCGCTAAAACGCTCACCTGCGATGTATGTAACTATTCTACCGTCTACAAAAATTGTCTAGAGCTACATATGCTCGGGCACAACAACTCGAAACCGTACGGTTGCAACCAATGTGAATATACAACGAAGTACCCAACGGCCTTGTACCGGCACGTAATGATAAAACACGAGAAAAAGACGTCCTCAGAAGAAAAGCAAGCGCCTGTCTATAAATGCGACCAATGTGATTACACGTCTTACTTCAAATGGAACTTGAGTGCGCACAAACGCAAGCACAAATTGGAGAAGCAGTTCAAATGCAAGCATTGCTCATATGCAACCGCGTACAGACATAACTACTTGAAGCACGGTAAAATACATAATGACACTATGTGCTTTAAATGTGACAAATGCCCATTTGTGACGAGGTTCGAAGGCCACATCACTAGACATTTAGCAAAGATACACAACGAGGTGACAGAAAGAGCGAATAAGTGCGACATGTGCGATTTCTCAACGATAACAAGATGGCGGTTGAATGTCCATAAACAAAGGAGTAAACAAGAGACACTATTGAAGTGTGGGTATTGTGAATTTGAAACATACTTCATGTGTGAGAGTAAAAAACATAAAGTAACACATTACAACCTTATCTATGGTACTGGCAGATCATTGAATAGTGTACGGAATAACATGCAGAGTAATGTAGAGAATACTATACAGAATGCTCTAGAACCGGTACAGAATCTAGAGAAACCTATGCATAATCCATACGATGATGGCACAGATAATGTTATGAATGATAACGTGATGAATGATGAAGCAGAGAAGTATTCGCAAGATCCTAACTTACAGAAGTATCACTTGGATCCGAATTGCGTTGATTGGAACAGCATCCAAGTTCTGGAGTCTGAGGATAAGGAGAGACCGTTCCAATGCCATATGTGTGCATACACGTCACGATTTAAAGCTTCAGTCCAACGTCACTTCCAAAGGCACCACACCGGCACTCAAAACAGACCCTACAAATGTGTCAACTGCGATTTCTCCACGAAAACGAAGGACCAAATAGCTCTACACAACAAACGAAGCCAATCAGACGTGGAATTATTCTGTGCCATATGTAAATACACGACTACCTTCAAATGCCAGTATGTAATGCATCAAAAACTACACTATGAGCACAAATGTCCGAAATGCAGCTACTCTTGTAAGCATAAATATGAATTACAGAAGCATTTCGCTACAATACACTTGGGGAACGGGCTGAAATGTCAGTATTGTGACTATAAAGCGGCTAGAAAGGAGAGTTTGCTGTGTCACGAAACAATCCATACAGGTATCAAGCCATTCAAGTGCAACTACTGTGACTACATGTCAGTACGGAGGTCGTTACTCACAAATCATGTTAAAAGATATCATACAGATGTTGTCACGGATGTCACAGTGGTCAGCGACAGTCGAGTGGAGGAGCTAAGGCTGCCCATAGACAGTTTGGACAAGTTTAAAAACATAGACTTAGACTCCCAAATAGATTTAGCTTGAGTGAGTTTTAGTTTTTAATTGTATATATGTGTACAGGTTTTGGTTTCGTGGTCTCCAATAAATGCGGAACAGTTTCAACGGCGTATCAAAGTCATATGCCGTGCGTCTTTCTTTGTTTCACAGACTCACAAAAATCGGATGAACAATTTATATTTTTAACTAGCTGTACTCGCGACTTCGTCCGCGTGGAATTTAACAAACAAGAATTTTTCTAAAATAAAAGTAGCCTAAAGTTAGTCCTTACTATATCAGCTACCTACCAAAAAATGTTCCGTCAAAATCGGTCTAGCCATTTCAGAGTTTAACCGGAACAAACAGATAGACAGACAAAAATTGTAAAAAATGTTATTTTGGTATATGTACCGTATTTATATTCATATGAATGTAGTAAAAAACGATTATTTCAATATTACAAACAGACACTCCAATTTTATTTATATGTATAGATTACGGTCCCTCAAGTGCTTTATAAATAAAAGCAATAATTCATGGACTGCTTATAGAGCGCCATCTAGCCCCAAACTAAGCAGATATATGTAATAAATTATATATATACTTACATGTCGACTCAGTTATTGAAGAATAACGGTATATAATATTTCATTTATTATTAAAACTTAATTTATATGTTATTTCTTTTAATAAAAAATCGCAGATTGTGGTGCATATTTTTTTATTAAGAGGTTTGGGCTTACTCGGAGCTTGGACCTGTAGCAATGCTACCTACATAGATCTATTGTGTTTGCCCGTTTTTCAGAGTTCGCTACCTAGACCTCTTAGAGACAAGAATTGAAGGAAATTCTTAGGAGCAATGGTTTTTATCAGAGTGTGTACTTTCCGAAGGAGATATTTCGTTTATGCATGAGTACCACATAGGATGGGTAGAATCATAGTCAGTCGGATATTATCAACCTACTTACTGAGTCAGTTATCACATTTGACTGACTCTGATTCTCCGTTAAACTGACCGACTATATGAACGGCTTTTGTACCAATGTCAGTAAAACTAAAATAATTTAAAAAAATCGTCAATTAATACTGACATTTTTTTACTTATAGTGACTCAAATTTTCTAGTAAAACAACTTAATAATAATAATCTCAGGACAAGTCACACAGCACCATCTAAATCCAAGTTAAGCTAGCTAAAGCCTGTGTTATCGGTACTAGATAACTGATACAAACACAAATATATTTTTTTCTAACATACATGTTATACATAGGCAATATTCAGAACAATACAAATGTTTGTGCTGAGGAATCGAACCCGCGACCATCAGAAGTAAGGCGATGTGCTAAACTAGATCACCGAGGCCGTCAAAACAACTTAATACTTATGAATAAGATATACGAATATGTATATTTATTTCTTTAATATTACATGCCCACTTAGACGTAAAACACTCTTCAAAAGCAGTAAATTGGAGGCCACGACAAATGTATATGTACCGGAATACAGTAGGCAATTTATATGTTTTTGTAATTATTTGTTAATATGAACCGTGAGCCGGCCAGTGGCGTAGTTACCAAATAACCACTGGGGCAACTCAAAAAATGGGGCCCACTGCTCAGCATTAGAGTTTATTAAAACGCACATATCGCTATCCGTCAAATTGACAACACTGCCAATGAAAGAATTTATGGGAATACCGAAGGTAAAACTTTCGAATTTCTCTCAACTGAGTTGCCATGATTAAAGTTGGGATGCAACCTGTCATATTTATTTTGAAAATGGGAGAAATTTTGAAAAGTTCAGTTCGATCGATATTTTCTGGTAAGGGTTCGAGGGCCCTTTTGAGCTTGAGGGCCCCGGGGCACTGCACCGTCTAACCCCTAGGTAGCTACGCCACTGGAGCCAGCAACTGATAAATGTTACCAATTTTCTCCTCGTTGAAAATTTCTAAAAACGGTTAAGAAAGAGAATATTCAAATAAACTTAATATAAGCACTTTTTTAATAGTCATATTTTTTTATTCTACCGCTCATTCGGAATGCAGACTCATCACAAGAAGAATGAACAAGAAACTTAAGATAAGAAAAGGTTGGTAAAATAAAGTTGACGTAAGAATTGAAATGAACTTTGTAGTTTTTGTGCATAAGGTCTATTATTGTAACAAAAAAATTAAACCTTTGTGAGGTTCTTGCTCCTCAAACCAACCTCGGGACCGCAACTGACTTTCCCTTGCCTTCATAATACAACTTCTTTCTTCATCTTAAGCATTTTAGAAGTTTTCAACCGAGAGGAAATGATTCACGGAATTTGTCTCTGGCTCGAGGACTAACTCTATGTGATAATAAAATCACAAAAAGAAATGCTGACCAATTTACAATGGTGTTTGCTTACCATTAGCATTTGATAGCAAGATGGCTGGATAATTACTGTAGTGATTTAGGTCACAGTCTATCATGTTAGAGATGTTACTTGTTTTAAAAAGATAATAAGAGTAGTTTTTATAACGTCGACTGTACAAAATGACTATCTGCTACAAAAATATTTTTTATTATTAATCTTTTCTTAAGGAGATAGACTCTATACCATTTTGTTGTATTCCCTATATATGGCGTTGACTTATTCATTTTTAAATTCTATTAGGGGAATATAGTGACCGATAGCGCATGCTATCGCATCTTTGTTAAAATGAAATAATTTAATTGTAGCCGTGACCCGAACAGAACAGTTCAAGCAGCACCCGTTCACGAGTATGACGGACGAGCCAGCTATCATTGCAGTTAACCATATTAGAAAGATCACATTGATAAATCCGTAGATTTCAAGGAGTTTTCAATGAGATATTTTGATAACATTGGTATATAATTAAGAATTTCTTGCCATCAAATATGTTAAAGCGTAAAGCAATTATATTTGGTAAAAAAAATGTCATATACGTCAAGAAAATAACCTCTTTCTTGCGTCATTGCCTACTAGTCTCTTTCGTTTCAATGGCAACTAAATATATTCTCCCCAGAATGTTGCAACGCCTTTTGCGCATTTTTTAGATCCTCCTTTGTGCAGGATGTTGGGGATAAAGGACAGAACAATAGATGGAACATAGTCTGGGATGGCGCTCCGCAATCGCCTCCCTTGAAGCGACACCCCATTTTACCAAGTTGATCCTGCAGTGGCACATTTGGGTTCGCAGTCTATTAAGCGATTTGAAAGTGGGCCATTGCAGGTCACTACCTGGGGGCAGGTGTTCGGCTGGTTGAATAAAACCTAGTAAGAAATCGTGATATTATTATGTTAGAAATATATTATATCTTTATTTTAAGTATCCAGGTGGGCATTGTTAATTGCATTTTCAATGTTTATTTTATCTTTTATCACTTCGTAGCTAGGGGCCATCCAAAAATTACGATGTACGAGTTTAATGATTTACTGACCTTCCAGTTCCAGTGTCAGCTGGTCACACATGTGGTCACCACCCAAACTTTACTTGTTTAACTAAAACAAAACTTTTTTACTTGTGCATAGAGTTGAAAATATTTTTCAGTATTTCGTCAGTAGTTATAATTTCAGGTTTTAATAATAAATTTTGCAAATACATCAAATCTTATCTGATTGACTCCTACTAACTTTTGCCAGTACGTCAACTATTTCCCCTCTTAGCGTATGGCATAGTTTGCGGATGGTCCTATTATGGATTAAAACACATTTATATTTTAGAAACATGTTTTTTAATATGACTGCTTGTATTGAGGCTTACATGGAATGATTATATTTTTGTACCCTACATATTTGACTTTTTTGATAAAAAGTTATATTGAGGGTGACAATAAAAGACACACACAATTATTGTTATACAACATACCTTTCCCTCAAGCTTAACACTAATATTAACAAACTCTTGAAAAAAATCAACAATGTATGGTTATCCTATTTACAATCTATCATAAGGGAGTTTAGAATGTCCTTTGGGTTTGTTTCTAATCTTTCCCACATTTGATGTTGATGGTATTCCCAGCATGTCCGCCCATTGGTCACAACTGGGTATCTCAATTATATCTTGCTCCTGCACTGTTTCCCATGTCTGATCTTCACCTAAGTTTTCATTTGTCAATTCCTGCTCCACTTCTGCTTCCTGTTCTTGTATTTCACTTTCTGTCCCCTGTGTTCTTAACTCTTCTGTCTCTGTGTCCTTAAGTGTTACCAATTGATCTATGTGTCTATGCATACACTCTCCATTTTCTGTTTCTATTCTATAGCTAGAAGGACCCTCCTTCCCTATTATTGTTCCAGATTTCCACTTTTCACCTTCAGTATAGTTCCTGTACATTACTTTCTTTCCAACTTGAGTTTCACGATTCTTCCTATTTGCATTATCTATAATCTGATTTTCTGTCTTTCTGTAATGATTGATATTTGGGTGAACAGTGTCTAATAAAGTCCGCAGCTGTCTATTCATCAATAATTCGGCTGGACTTCTCTTAGTTGATGTGCAAGGCGTACTACGCAATGTCAGCAAAATTCTTGGTAATTTTACTTCCCAAGGTACATCTGTCATCTTTTTTAGTTTATTTTTTAAAGTTTGAACCATTCTCTCGGCCTGCCCGTTGGTGGCGGGATGATATGGCGCTGTCCTAATGTGTTTTATTTTGTTAGCCACTAAAAAGTCCTCAAAATCCTTTGACACGAAAGATGTACCATTATCTGATACCAATGTTTCACAAAGCCCGTGTTGCGCAAAGATATATCGTAAATGTTTGATAACAACGCTAGATGCCATAGAATTTACAATGTGAACCTCAGGCCATTTTGAATATGAGTCTACTACTATCAAAAATATTTTATTTTGAAAAGGTCCTGCAAAATCAACATGAATACGGGACCATGGTCTAGCAGGCATAATCCATTCATGTGATGATCTTGTTGGCATATTTCTATTTTCTAAACAGGAATGGCAGTTGCTGATTATCTTCTCTATATCTCTGTCCATTTGTGGCCACCATACATAACTCCTAGCCAGAGCTTTAGTATGTACTATACCATTATGAGTTTGGTGTAATAGTTTTAACATGTCCTCTCTAAGTTTAGTTGGTAATACCACACGACTTCCCAATAAAATACAGCCATCTTGTATACTCAACTCCAAACGATGTAACCAATATGTATGTAACTCTTTGTCTGTAATTCGGGCTGGCCACCCTTTTAAAATGAACCATTTTACTCTATGGAGAGTTGGATCTCCAGAAGTTGCTCTTTCAATGTCTTTTGGACCAAATGGCAAGTCATGTGGTGTTTCTGCTATTAAGAGAACCTCCCCTGGAGTATCAAAATCTTGAG